AGATTTACAAAAAGTTTTTGAAGATTCCAACTAAGCCTCTTGGGGGGAAAAAACTGGCTTATGTGGCTCTGGATGGGGAGAAGGAATTGACAGCCATCCTCCTCTGGGTATAGAATGTCCACCATTAACAGCAGGTCTTATTTAACATTTTGCAGTAACAAGCTGTCCCTGGTTCTCAGATTGATTGATTTTTTTCAGATTTATTTAAAAAATAAAAAATAAATGAGTCACCTCTTTCTCTTTATGGGGAACCAGCCTCCCCCACCCGGGACACCCTTTTACTAGGCCCCTGATGAAGGCTCAGCTGCAGAAGAAAGCCCCTCCTCTCTGCCCTCAGTTAGATGACCCTTACTTGGCCAGTGCCCTCAGCTCTGACCCATTTGCTTGAGCCAGAAGCAGTAATCGAGTATGGACTTCAGAGGCTTGGGCTCTGATGCTCATTTTGACCCTCCTTGTTCCAAAGCCCCTTGAATACCAGCTTCTACAGTTGAGAGTATTTTACTCCTGACTCCGCAGTTCACCCAGGCTTCATTACAGCTGATGTTCCAGGCACAAGTGCTCCTGGGGTCCACCCTGGTGCACCAGGGCCAGGATCCAAACCTGCTTGGCCAGCCCTGTTTGCATCTCCACCAGGGAAAGGGGTCCTACAGAATGTGGCAACACTCGTAGGAGGAAACAGAAAAGCACCGAAGCAGGCCTTCACCTGTCATTCCAGGGTGGCGATTTCAAAAGCAGAGGCCTTGGGCACTTTTGATTCAAATCCTACTCGGCGGTTGACTAACTGTGTGACTGTGCTGGCATGTCATTCAACTTCCCTTCCACTTAGTTTTCTCATCATTAAAATAGAGAGAAAAACAGGTTTGGTTGTTATCAAGAGGAGGTAAGCTAATGCCTGTAGGTTTATGTGGACTTCAGTGTTTCAGTGATCGTTCTCTTGTATTTTTATTCTGAAATTATCTCTAGTTGAAGGATGTTCTTCGTAAGTTCTCCGTAACTTAACTCCATATTAAGCCTCACGATAACCCTCTTGTGACGACAGTGTACCGGAACTGCAATGCAGTACTGGGTCCAGAGGAGAAGGGCTATATCCAGAGAAATGCTCACTGCCCTGAGACTAACCATCTACCCTGCTGTGCAGATTTCAAGAGCTTGCAGCTGGGTGTATGTTTTGGCGTCGCGCCTTTGTGTGAGAGACCAGTGCGCTGGCTTTGATTAGCCAGTCTGGCAGGGTTGGATGAAGACAGATGTCCCGATCTATTCTGAATGTTTTAATTTTTTTCATTAAAGACATCACAATTGGTTTTATTGAATATCTCCTTGGTGCTTCACTAGTAATACTCTGAGCTTTATTTGGAGGCAATTTCTCCAAATTAAAATGAGATCTTAAATCTCTTAAGTAAAGGAGACTCTGGTGACATGCAGTGGCATTGCTGGCAAGTCGATAAGGAATGAGGGACCAGTTTGAGTGTCACTGGAAGAGTTTATGGGAAAGTTTGGTAGAAGGCATTGAATTTCTGGAAGTGGAAAATGGACACTGATAGTGACCTGAGAGATTGGCTGGTCTTTGCTTAAGATAATGGGAAATCTCTGAAAGCTTTCCAAGGTGCTTGCTATTTCAAATGGAGGAAGATACTAGAAAACCTTCCTGACCTCTGTTTAGTTTCAATGGCCGTGTTTTCTCTCTTTCAGTGTCACATTTTTCATAGATATTGAACAGATATTAATTCTGTCCAGAACCACCACCATCAGAAATAGTGTTAGTTTTTGTCCTCACGTGCACTTATCTTTTTTCTTTATGCTTCCAGCTAATTTCCCCAGCCCACTTCCCCACCCTATATGTGGTATCTATGGATTATTCAGTAAAGTCAGTGTTCTTAAGCTTAAGTGAGGAGTAAGTCATGTTGTTTCTTCTTTCCAAATGGCAACCGAGAATTTCTTTCTGAGCTTGTCTGCTTTTCTCAGTGTCTTCTGGTCTCCCCTCTTCATGCTTAATCTTATTTTAAACTCTAAAGTGTTAACTCCAGTGATAAGCAGCTGAACTGTAAATTAGCCAATGAAAGAAGCGTCATTTTACACCTTATTGTCAAGAAAATGAGTCCTTGCTAAGCGTTTATGCAGGGGTCTGATTCTGAAAATACTTCTTAGGACCCAGCTGTCCTACCCAGTGCTAATGTGGAGGAAAGTTCACACTCAGCTCCAACCCTGAACCCCACGTGTGTGTTGTTCCACCCCAGAGATCTCAGTGGTCATGGTTAGGGTATGGGTTCACTTAGTAGGTTTTGATTTTTACGATTGACACAAAGAAACTTTGTCAGGATGGCTACTGTTCACAAATATTCGTTGTTTGGGCAAATGAAAGGTGTCTGAAATGTCTATTGGATCAGTGATAATGAATGAAGGAAGCAATGAGAAGGGCTGGAGCTCCATGATGGTGGCATTTCTGTCATTACTTTTCCAACATCTTTCCCTCCTCCAGGAACCATTACCTGTTGCTCCTGGTCTCCTTTATTAAGCCACCCCAGTTCTCACTGAACCCTCATTTTTCCCATCTCATGCTTTCCAGATCTGGAAATCTTTCCAACAGTGGCCCTTATACATTCTGATGATATTTAATTAGTTGCCTTTCATCCGGCCTTAGTCTCAGAAACTAACTTAAAAATCAGTGATTGTAACAATTCTAATGACCTGATGTGATGGTGGACAGTTCAAGCCTAGTCCCACAATAATGAAAAAAGACAAAAAACAAACCACGAACCACAGAAGAATGTGGTATGTTCTTGTCCTGGGTTTCTTTGCTGTGCTTCCCAGACTTACACAATGCAGACTGACAGTTTTGTGTGGTTTTGCATTAACAAGGGTATGGGAACCGTGCTTTGGAGTTTATAGTCAAAATGAAGACTGAAGACGGTTCGTTACACTGATAAAGGTAATAACCTTGATGTTTTTGCATATGCTTTTCTAACCTGTATTTTTGGATTATCTTTCCCCTCCTGCAGTGCAAGCAAGATGAGGTGTTAGCGTCCCTTGGCTGAAAGGAAACAATACAGAATGAGCAGGAGACGAGGTAAATGAATGAAAAGACGAAGAATGTATTTCTCTAGAAAAATACGCACACACACAACTTTTTGCTTTATTAATTCTCTTTATTAATTCACACATGGATAGAGCGTAAGCGTGTCACACTTTTGGCACTGTGCACAGTTCTAGAGTAAGCTGTTTGGTTGTCTCCAGCCGTTACTACACATTAGCACAAGAGCATCTAGGACACGTCAGCAGCGTGCTGTCACGCTGGTGCGAGAGCTGCCGCAAGTACTCTGTTTTCCATGTTTGTAAACAAAATAGAAACAGCACTACATAAACACTGTGATTGGAAAAATACCTTCTTTTCAAATCCTCCCTTACATTCAGTAAAGGAAACTTAAACTACTTTAGTATCCAAAATACATTTTCTCTGAAAGAATATAATTCTCTTTAGGTGTGCTAAATATGTCACCAGAACAAATCAATTTTTGTGTCTTTCCAAAACTAGATCATTTTCTGAAAGGCAGTGGCACAAGATGACACAGATGAGACTTGAGATGTGATGGGTTCCAATGTGTCTCCTCATTCAGCATACAAATTAAATCACGGTAGCTGATTACAGTTGCAAATTCACAAATTAGCTTCAAGGGCCAGTAATGACATCGGTGTATTCAGGGATTTTTGAAGACTTTATATTGAAGGAAGTAAAGAGAGGTAGGGGAATCTAATCTTGGATTTTAATGAGGAACTCTATACTTTTATTTTAAATGAATTGGTATATAGTTAAACTTGTAGCAGTCACATTTTTCCTCCTCCTGTTTCACTAATAGCAGCAAACAAGAGGTCAACTACAAACTGACTTCTAATTAGTCCTACTGAATCTTCCTGGAAAAGGCTGAGATCTTGTTAAGCTTTGAAGCTGGGCAGAAAGCAGTTAATGGACTTACGTGGGGTCTTTTAATTACCAGTCTCAAACAAATTTATCGTTTAATGCTAGATAGCACCCAAGGGCAAGAGGTAATCTGCTTTATAAACCTTGGAGTGATTTACTTTATAAATCCTGGAGTTTAGGAAAGCTGAGAACTCTCTTTAAAGGGAGTATTCTCTTCCACTAGGAATTACATTTTTGGCAGTTTTGTGAAAAATTTAGTGATGGAGTCTTCGTGACCTCCCAGTTGGTAAATGTGAGCGACTGAAGCACATGCAACACAAAGGCTAATTCCTCACAGCATTGGGACCTGCCCAATACACAGGATTATCCAAAACCAAGCTGAGCCTATGACCTTAATAAATCCATGAACAAACTGACCCATCTAATGTTTCGAGCAAACTGACTCAATTTCTTTTTCATTCGAATCATTACATCTTCCTGCCAAATGCAGGACTTTTTCTCCACACACTCAGTCACTTCAGTTTTAGAAATCCACTTTGTCTTGCAGAGGTCATGTAATTTGTGCGGTTTACATTGTGTGGATGGTAAAAACATCTGAGCAACGTCAGAATTGATTGAAATTAAAAAAAAAATTAAAAATCAGATCCATAGCCAAATACTGAAATATTCTAATTCAAAGTTTAGAGTTAAAAAGAAAAATATTGACAGTGGTTTTAATTTTTTCAAAGGTATAAATGGCTCAAGATTAACAAGGAGCACCCTGTATCTGAAACTAGGTCAATTTGATCACGTTTTACTTGTATACTTTGCTTGCATTTCTGTGACATTTGTAGCTCAATCCTGGATGAAAGATGGAATTCACAGGAGTTCACAAATATTATAGAGGGAGACTCCATTCCTAAACTGTCTCCCATAGCAAAAGTACCAAGTAAAACTTTCTTCAGGTTCACAATGGACAAATTCACTTAATAATTCTCACAAATGAGATGTTCGCTCCTGGGAGGATGGAAATCACTTTAAATGCATGGTCTGTCTTGCTCCCAGGAGGTGAGGGGTCAGTGATCATGATGTTGTATTTGCGTCACATTCAAGCGGATGACTCCTGCTGCTCAATCACTTCCATGGGGATGGCCTCAGCCCCCTCCTCGCCGGGGTCGTTGGCGGGCTCATTCCTCGGCTCCTGGTGGCAGATGTAGACAGGGACGTCGCCAGCCTCGGCCAGGGCTGCAGCAGCAGGAGCACTGGAGGTGGCGCGGTTGGAGCGGCGGCCCCCGGAGCGCTGGGCTCTAAACTGTCTCCACTGACGCAGCAGGGCATCCTGGACCTGGAAGAGAAAAGGGAGCAGTGCGTTCTCAGATGTGTCAGAAATGACCTTGAGCCGCGTTCGTGAGTGCAGTTCTTCATCAGAGATTAGAGGAGGCTGCATTCTAATTCTGGTCTATGTGCTCTGGCTGTAGAATGTACCGTCTTGGCAGAAGAATCTGCAAATTGGAGAACTGAGTTCTTGCCTAAGCTACCACTGTAAGGGTTATTTGCTATTCTGAACAAAGGTTTCCTCATTAGCTCTTATAGTCAATGAATAAAATCTGATTTGGTTTCACATTCAATATGGCATACACATCATATTGGGGAGATAGATTTTGAAACCTTTTTATCTGCTACTACCTCTGATACAGCAGAAGCTTTCATCTAAATCTACACAGTAGTGGTCATGAAAATATATATGAAAATCATAGCACAGTTCTGAATTTTATGATAATGGAAAACTGTTGATTTTCCTTTATCCAATGTGGCTTGAGGTGGGGTGTGCCTGATAAAACTCTGGTTAGTGGTTGAAGTTTTAAGAATAAAATTGCAATTGCTTTGTATTGAAAGACTGCTAATATGTAAGCAAACTTACCAAACTTGCTTTAAAAATGTGATAAAAATCTATATCGAACGCAAGAGGAGAACGTACTAAAGTTGAGGTACTATTAGTACTTGTCTCAGAATATTACGACTTTTCCACGAGAAAAGGCAAAACAGTAAAGTGATTCACTGCAAAGCAAATCAAGAAGGTATGAAACTTGTAGCTGGAGAGGTTTACCTTCAGACAGCAAAGCAGCTGTGAGGTTCAAGGTGACAAACGGCAAGCAGAGTAATTTGGTCATCTGACAATTTGGAATACTAGTCTTTCCAAATTACGGAGGCAACTCGCTGTTTTTCTTTGTTTGTTTTTTGGAAGTGATGAGTACTTGGCTGCAAAGAACTTTATATCTAATTTTATTTAAAACAGACAAAGGCAAAAACTTGGAATGCCAGGGTGAGCTGTGAGCCACGCAGCTGAACTCCGCATCCACAGAGGACATCCGGGGGACAGAGGGTGGCGTGAGCAGCTTTAGCTGCTACCACGTTCCGTGCTCCGAGCCCTCGATGAATAACAAGTTACTCAGCCCTCACAGCAGCCCTAGGAGAAGGGCACTACTCTGCACTCCACAAAGGAGGGCTGAGGTTATACGTGTCCACAGACAGACAACCGGAAGGAGGTGGAGCCACCAGCCCGGGTAAGCCCTCGGCTCCTCCCCATGGCGCGTGGCCACAGTGTACACTGTACAGGGCTGACCATTAAGTTTAGAGCTGAACTGGACATAGGGTTTGTTTCTGTGCCCATGACAGGACGACAGCATCGAGCATCTGAGCTCCAGACACTGTGCTCTTTAGGTTTGAGTCCCGGTTTGTTTGCTGCATGTTTTTTTCTTTATGTTTTATCCTCTGTGAAAAGGGGATCATAACACTAATTCAAAGAGCTATCGGTAAGACCTGTTGAGGTTATTGAAATCACCTCTCGTGGTGGTGGTGCACAGCAGTAATTCCCCTCCTTTTCTCTCCTCCACGCTGACTCCTAAGGATTTTCTAGTCAGTGTGGCTGGATTTGCATGTCAGATAACTCCTCTATTATCTTACGCTTTCAGACTCCTCTATCTGGCCCCTTTCTTTATTAGAGCTGTTTACCGGTTGAAAATTGATTCATGCAAGTGTTTTGCCCCCTGTGGTTTTCTGAGCACACTGCTAAGAAGAGGTACACGTAGAAGCTGTAATGTGGCTGGAGAGAAAAGGCGGGACTGGAGGACAGGAAGAGGTGGAGCTGCACAGCCAGCCAGCCAAGGCTGTTGACCTGCATCTGGGGCTGAGCAGCTGAGTACTGGCTGGTTTGTGAACCCTTTGAGACATTTCCGTCTTGAGGCTGAGACACATGGAGAAGACAAAGTCGGGAAAGTTAAGTCCTTTTACTCTTTCTAATCTAAGCCGTGTGCTAAGCTAAGCCGTGTGCTCCCTGACGCATTTTGGTTTCTTGCACTCTGCTACTGCCATTCAGAATAGCCGTGAGGTGACATGCTCCAGACAGGCTGAACGCCCTTAGGCTTGTTTTCTTCAAAAGAAAGAATTTAAGCCACATCAAAAGAGATCCGAAGTCTTGGCCTGATGATTTTTGTCCTTTAGCTATTTACCCAACCATTTCAGTAACTCGGCCAGGCACACGTACGAGGGGTATCGAGCCCAGCAAGGGCACCTGGACACCGAGCACAGAGATGCTGTCCCTGGGAGGGGCGGGAAGGCCCCACCATCCCACTGCTTCCCCCTGAGTTGGCTCATCTCTCTGCTGAAGTGGTTCTTAGCCACTTACTGCCTTAACCTTAATTCTCCAAAAGTAATAAACTGCATGTCTCTCCCCGCCAGCTATAATGTTTCTTCCCATCAGGCCTCTGCTCACTCTGATCCCTCTGCTAGGAATGCCTTTCTCTCGTCCTACATCAAGGAAAAAGGCCTCTTTCAGGACTGAACCCTGCTGTCGTCCCCACGGGACTTTTCTCGGCCCCTACTGCAAGAGTCGGGGGCCTCCTCTCTGTGTGTGTTGCACCTGTCCACAGGTCGTCACTGCTCTGCCTACTGGACAGTCTGATGTTTTGCTTTGTCTCGCTCTCCTCCTGTCCTGTGAAATCCTTAAGGGCAGGAACCCTACCTATATAATTTGGAGGGTGGTGGTGCTAAGAAAGTGAGAAGAGCTCTTAATTACATAGTTCCGGATCTCGTGTTCAGCTGTCTCTATGCTAACCTAGGGCCCCGCAAAGCGTCCCCTCCAGCCGGGGCTTGTCATTTCCTGGGAAGTACCTGATGCGCATGCACATGGAAGTCTTCTTCACTTCGCGATTTGCTCTGGGGAAAGGGGTGGCTGGATCTTTTGGGAAAAGGAAAGAAAATACTTTTGGTGGGAAGATCACCCTAGGGATATATTTTCAAATACAAATGCATTTATTACAGGTATTAATGAATATTTAGTTCAGACTCCTTCTACCACTCACTCTGTCCTCTGCTTCACTCCCCAGGAAGGTTCTCTGTTTCCCTGTCTAGTTCCTGGGCTTTTGCTTTGCAATCTGTACAGAAGGGAGAGCTACAGAACTGAAGAGAGACTAGACTGATGATATCAGAAAGGACTGATATGAAAGCACAAGCTGGATGTGTCTGGGAAAGCACGTCCCGACTGAGTTATACATTCAGGTAAAACATGAGTAAATTTTACTTTCTGCCATGCAGTGAAATTTCTCCTTTAGCACCTCATCAAGAATCTAGTAAATATTTAAACTGCTTTCCAATTCTCCTTTGGACTTTAAATTTCTTGACAATGTATTTTCCTGTTGAGACTAGCAAAGAGATGGCGATACTTTATTTGGGTTGTACTGTCTATTAAACATAGGTCCTTAAATGCCAGGTATATAATCTAGGAACTATCAAATACCCTGTTGAGGAATTAGGAAATATACTGGCTCAGTATATTTTGGAGAAGCGAGGTCCCCAGACAAAGGGAACTGGTAGATCCTGTGGATTCAGCATCTCTTAAATACCAACATTGTCTTTAGAGCTAAAACTTACACAGATGTTTACAGGCATCTAAAGCAGATGGGACTCAGCAGGAAAAAAAGAAAAAGAAAAAAAAAGGAAGTCTTTATTTCACCTCATCTGTCCTTTTAAAATAGTCTCCACTGGAGTGTCCATGCATATTAGTGAAGTATCCAGCATGAGGCTGAAGGGTCTGAAGTCTGTTTTAATTTTTAAAAATGATGAGAGAAATGTTCATACCCTTCTATAATTGTCTTCCAGAATCATAACCTGTCCCTTTGTGTGGAGATGGCAATCTGCTTCAATTTGTCAACCACACATGTAAGAGTAGGCCCTTAGCAACATGTGAAAGACGCTTCAATAATTGCAGTTTAATAACGGCAATTATCTCCAACAATACCACAGGTTGAGCCCAATACTGCTTTGATCACAAGAATATGGGCATTGAATCTGTTTGAAAAAAACAGGGAGACTTTCGTTGCTCCTGAAGAGCATCTGAAAGGTTAGGAGTTGCTGATGGGATGAGTGTAATATACCAAGTTTTGAATTATATAAATTCATTGTTCATTATAAAAACCATGAACACAGATCACTTCCCATTTCCCTGATTATGTCAATATATTTATTGCCAACTTTTAAAAATGGAGCCCTGGTCTACTGGTTTGAGGACATAATTATTACACCTGGCTCTATTATTAACCAGCTGCATAAGGTTGGTAATATTTGGGCCTCTGGTTTCTATATTTGTTTAAAAAAAAAAAAGGAAAGAAAGAAAATCAGGTTGGATTCTTCGTGGTCGCATTTGGATGTTTTTGTCTTTGGCCTTTGTTTTCCTGTTAAGTTCATCATAAGCACGTACAGTTATGAGCTGCTGAATGGAAAGTGGGATTTGTCCCAGGATTCTGAGTCAGTGAACAAAGTGATTTTAAGACTTGCTCCTTGACCCCTTCACGTGCTGTCACCCCAGCCCAACAGCCCTTCTGAAGTCTGAACTTAAAATGGAAAAAAGCATGAGTTTTAAAAATACCTTAGGTTCCCTTGGAAGTTAGAAAGTAATTGCATGCTTCTCATGTTTTTATATGACATTTCAGAGCTGGATCCCTGTTAAGCCTTATTAATTACATGCTGAGGAATAACTTATGAATATTATTCAGAGTTGTCGCTGATCTTTTTTTCACCGTTTTGGAGGACGCATCACCTGTGTCTCTACTAGTCTAGTTTACAGAATATTTACCTTACAGAACCTGTTCATATGCTCTACAGTTTGAGGTAATTGGGTACTTGATGATTACAAGAGCAGGGCTTTCTAATTCTTTTTCACTATCTACTTTCCTAACTTTGAGGACGCTTTCTTGTTGTAAAAGACAAAAATAAGTAAGTGCCATCCATAATAAGGTTAAAGCCTTTGAAAATACTTAACTGTATTTCTTAAATGACATTCCCCTGCATCTCCCTCATTAAGTCAGGGTCACTCACTGCTTGAACAAAGAAGATTTTGTCTAGAGCAGTGGTCCTCGAAGTGGGTCTCCTGAAGACCAGCTGCATCACTTGGGAACTTGTCAGAAATGCAAATTCTCAGGTCCCATCCCTATCCTACTGAATAGGAACCTGCTGGCAGAGACCCAGCAATCTGTGGTTTAACAAACTTTCCCAGTGACTCATGCATCCTTAAGTTTGAGCGCCCTGGTCTAGAACAAAGAAATCATTGCTTAGCTTTGAGCCCAAAGCTCACTTTCTTGAGTCTCTAGGAAGACCATATTTTTGAAAACCAAGTTTTATTGAGTAAAAGAATTTCTAAATAGAAAAATGTATCTCCACATATGAAGTGATAACCTTACTGGTCTGAAAGCAGAACTTTACTAATAGCCACAGTATAGAGAACACGCAGGATGTGGCACCGGAGTCCCTTACAGACAGGGAGCGGAAGTGGTAAGTGCAGGGCCCTCCTACTCCCCCAAGAGCAAGGGGAGAGAGAAGTGTAGAGACCCTTTGCGTTTCCCCGTCATAGAGGGATACTTGGAAAAGTGTTTGGATGGTCAGTGTCCACACGCTTGGAAGAGTAGTAGGAAATGTCTGATACAGAAGCGGGCACTCATCTCCTGTTTCCTAGTACTATAATTCTTAAAATTCCTTTCCTGCTTCTGGTCTACCCATTGACTACCTAATCCATTTCTATAGGAGGAACCACTGATAACACATGGATAATAAATAAACATTAAAACCTTTATCTTTATTGTAGAATTGACGTATTACCCCCTCGATCTCTGCTAAAATGTAACGTTCAGCCAGGCAAAGCCTGCTCACAACCCTGTCTCAGATGTAGCCGGAAATACCTTCCTGCGTGGATGAGCACTGCCTGTTGCAGTGCTGTCAGACCGAACGTATGTTCACAGAAGGCCCAGCTGAGGCCCAGATGCCTAAACCCCCGTGACTGCAGTATCACCTTTGGCACAGTACGCAACTTCTATATTATTAGAAATGTCACACTTGTACATTCCCCCAGTAACATGGTTTTAATTAAAATGGAGATGTTTTCTTTACTTCCAAAAGCAGAAATAACATACTCAAACTAGAGACTTTTGATTATGAGGGGTACCTCTGGGTTTGCTTATTGTGCCTGACACTTCTAAGACCACATCATGGTTGAGACACAATCAATATTGAGGTATTTTTTTTTACAAATGTATACAGTCCTCTCGTGTTTTCAAGGTATGCCCTTCCTGAACCTGATTTTTATATTAGCTCTATATAGATGTTATTTTAGATGAAAACTTTTATTTTGTATGCCATCTGAACCAATTCAAAAGGCAGGGATATACATTCACAGGAATTGATACAAAGATGGGGTGACCTAAGCCCTATTTATTTATTAGTTTTTATTATTCTTGTTAAAAAAAAGGGACACTTCAACAGCTGGCAATGAAGGATGTCTTTTTATTTCTATCTGAGGCTTTCAGTGTAGGCCCTAGTAATAGAGACTGCACAGTATATTTTTGTTTGATTAGGGAATGAGTTGATGGATGAAGGAAGGAAAGAACAGAAGGTACTAATTAAAAGGGAGAAAAAGAACAAGAATAACCTTGCAATTTGGGGCTTGGAGATGAGCAAGCGGTCACAGAGCTATAAAATATTATAGGTGCTCACTGAATATTGTTTACCTGAAGAAATAAAAAGACTGGAAAATCCATTAAATATCAAGTGATAATGGTTAGAAAACAATTATTTTCCATTTAGTAATAAGAATATGTTGATTTCTTAAAATGTAATTTGCCTTGGTACAAAATTATTCTTAATAGGAACTGATTTAAAATGATCACAAATACTTTTACATTAAAAGTTATGAGGTATATAACTCAAAGTGTACTAATGAAGCTTCAGGAAAGAATCATAGACATAATGCCTTCAGTGGAAGGTTTAGTCCATTTAATTGGGAATCAGGAAATTTGGGGTCTAGTCCTGATTATACAGTGACTGGGCAAGCCATGTGATCTTTCTGGAGTTTAGATTTCTCACCTGAAAAATGAAGACGCTTCCAAATCATGTTCCCTGAAGGCCTAGAAGTTCTTTGGTACAAATTTAAGCAGTTCCACTTTTGTTTTACAAAGATATCATTAGAAGAAAGGAAAGTAGCTAAAAAGCCCTTAAAACACTGGCCATGTGGATCTCTAGATTTTATTGATCTAAATGCTCAGATAACAAATTATTTATTCCTTTTTGAGTCTTGTCTTCAGGGTGACTTTCAAAATGTCGAATAAGTAGCATGACACTGGCACCATGCAACTGGAAAAGAAGGTGCTGAACCAGTGCCAACTGGACACAACTAGTCATGAAACCCCTGTAAGGTCAACTGCAGAAGGGAAAGCAAATGAAAAGTGCGCAGAGGCTGCCTGGAGACTGGAAAGAGCTGGCTTTCTACAGACGAGTGATGGGATTATGTGACGTGCACGCTTACCTCGTGGTTGCAGAAGCAGTAGATCACGGCAACGAAGAATCCCTAAAAAGAGAGGGAAAAATCGAGTTGAAGTTATTTCTGTGTGCAGCGTGTTGTTTAGTAACCAATACAAATAGCCCGGAGAGGAACATTTCACTATGGTAACAGCAAGTCGAGTCTTGATGAACAGTGACCACCACTCACATTCAGTGCTTCACTACAAGAATATTCATTAGAAATGCCCGTTTCTTGTTAGGATTCTATTGTGTGTCCCAGCTTGCTTTCCAAGTACCTCGCACTATGCCTTCAACAAGGCTTCGGACCTGAGGCCAAGTGAATGGAAACACGGAAAGCAGACAGTGGGAAAGGCAGGGAGGAGCCATCTTCCCTCCAGGGACCATATGTTCTCAAGTGTCATTCTAACCACAGCGGAGCCACAGAAAACTGTTGCCCCTGCGCCAACTAGCTGAGCAAGTAGTTGAATAAATACACCATCAGTTTCCTTACCTGGAAGTGAATCAGAGAGTGCATCACGTAGTCATAGACTCGGCCAAGCTGCGGGTTGGAAGGCCTCCAGGGAAGGACGACAAACTGGACCCCCAGCAGTGGGACGAGGACCAGAGTGGCCCTCACCGCCTTCAGGTACCTGTGCGATTCCGCCTCCGGGGTTTCCTTCAGTTTCTTCACCAGCACCCGGACAATGTTCAGCAGAAAGAAGAAGTTGACCTGCAAAGATATGATTATTATGAGCAAATTCAGCACCACTGAGGGACACCCACTGCCCTCAGTTCTCATTTATCCAGCGTGGGGAGCAGATGTCACCTATACAGGACACACGAGACAGCCCGAGAGGTTACAATCTGCTCAGCATGACGGGGCCTTGGAGCCCCGGAAAAGCTGAATGCCCTCTTCAGACCTGAATGAACATTTAGCTACTTAACTAAAAGTAAAATGAAGACTGAAAAATGTATCTGTAAAGCTTATGTGGTGGAAACAGCTAATCCAGACTTCTTTAAAAAAAACCACTTAAAATAATTTCATTGAGGCATAAAGTACATTCAATAAAATGGAGATTTTAAGTTTACATTTGGGAAGTTTAGACAAATGTATATATCTGTGTAATAAGCACTCCAAACAAGAGCATTTCCACCACCCCAAAAAGTGCCCTCTTGCCCCACTGCAGTCAGCGAGGCCCTCCCCCATCTCAAGCAACCATTGATTTCTATTACCATAGAAATGGAGTGATACAGAGTATGTACTCTTCTGTGTCTGGTTTCTTTGGTTTAACATACAATCTGTGAGGTTCATTCGTGTTGTGTATATGGGCATTTCATTCATTTTTATTGCTGAGTAGCACTGCATTATATGAATAATACATACCCATAATTTGTTTATTCATTCTCCTGTTGATGAAACTTGGAATGGTTCCACAGTTTGACTATTATGAATAAACATGCTATGAATACTTGTGTACAAGTCTTTGGGTGGGCATATGTTTTCATTCCACTTGAACAAGTACCCCAGGGGTGGAACTGCCTGATCATATGGTAAGTGTATGTTTAACTTCTATAAGAAATTGCAGTACTGTTTTCCAAAGAGGTGGCTTCGTGTTACACTCCCTCCAGCATTGTATGAGAATTCCAGTTTCTCTTCACTCTTGCCAGCACTTGGTATGGTCACTCTTTTTAATAACAGCCATTCTGGTGGATCACCAGCTTGTGGCTGTGAAGATTAGTTTTGAAACTAAGGTTGTTTAAAATTTTTAATTGATCATTTACTTAAAAATGATTAGAATGATTTTTCTACCTGGAATAGAAATAAATGTTACTACCCCCCAAAATTCAAGAATGGAAAGAGAATTTTTAGGGGGTGTTGTGTAAATATTCAAGACTCATGTTAGCAGGTCCTGGTGAGCACAGTCGAGCTAGTAAGCACATCACTACTCTGAAAAACAGCAACAGCAGGAGAAACTGAATTTGTATTGGCAAGGCCAGGAGTGTGAGAAGATGGGCTGGGTGAGAACCCAGCTTGATCAATTATTAATGGATGCTTCTCCAGTGCACGTGCAGAATATAGTCTAGGACTCTGCTTTTAGTTTTCTTACTCTTATCTGAAGAAAACACTGTCTTTGAGACTAATGGGGAAAATAATGTCTAAATATTAAATTGGATGGTTCTGATGGTGGCCAACATATAGTAAACTATGGGTAGAAATAAAGAGCTTGGATATAGATTCAGACAGTCATATTCTCCCTTGGCCCAACTTTTTACTAATCATGTGATTCTGAGTGATTTTACTTGAGTTTCTGGGTCCAGTTTTCCTAATGTGTAAACTGGTCCTGATGTATCAACTCTGACGGGCGGCTGTTGGGAACAGCGCAGCAGTGTACGTGAGGTGCCTGGAATACTTTACGTGCGGGATCAGTAGTAGTTAGAATGATGGCTCGTGGACCAAAGGAGAAATGGAAGATGGTTTAGTTTGGCAGAGCCCAGGGGAAAATGGTGCAGGGGAACTTTGTGGTCTCTCACTTTCTTATCAGCAACATCTTTGCCCTTGGTCTTTACCTTCAACTAGGAGAATTTAGGTATAGGATTATTTTTTTAAACCCCCCTATATTGTTGCTATGGCTTGTACAGAAATAGCTTATGCCCCCTCTACCCATTTGTATTAATTAAAGATTTTTTTGAAACTCTCAAATCAAATTGTTCTTATTATATATTATCATTAAAATAACTTCATCTTGAAATTGTAATACACATGCTACACAGAACCATCCTCACAGAAACCACCCCACAGAGATAACACTGTTAGTAGTGGATTTAAAAAGCAGTTCTCACCACCAGTGCTGCCATGACAGGGCCGTGGATGATGTAGAGCAGGTTGGTGTCCACGCTCAGCCAGCAGCTGAATAAAAGGAGGCGGGATACATCAGTACACTTGCATTTTATTTCCAAATATGTTAACGAAAAACCACAATACTTACTTGTCATTGAAGAGCAGCGCCCTAGAAATAGCATGAGCAGTAGTTGGCAGCAGTGGGAGCCCTAAAATGTGAAAAAGTACAAAAGCTATGACTACAGCTGTATGGAAGAGGGTAGTGTACTTTCAAGCCCTGGGACCAGTGTAACATCTTGTCAAGATATTTCCCCGTTGTTTTTGTGCAAATTATCTTCGGTCAAACCAGAAATATCATATGCTTTCAGAGAGTTTGGTTAAGAGCATTCAGATAATTAAAAGCCTTTCACAGATTATCCAGTATGGTGGGGACGTTATTACTCTCACGATGACTATAATCCTATCGTTACGTTGTGGTGAGGGTGATGGTGATGACAGTTACCTGAGACCAGAAAGCTTTTTGTTAAGGAAAAAAAAACTCCTTTTCTCAGATGTATCCATGCACAATAGAATATTGTTTGATTTAGTTGAGACATCTATAGAAAGAGGTTTTAAAATTACCAGATTAAGAAACGTGTCTCAGAAGTGAGTTTGACCCCCACACTTTTATTTTCTGTGTAGTATATGCAAAAAGAGAACGACTCAGAATAGTGAGTTTTCACCTAAGAACAACCTCGGCTTCTGAACCCATGAAGCATATAATTCAACAGGACCCTCGATTAAATGTTTGACCTGAAGGAATTTTGACTGTTACACAAAACACAATTATGTTTTATTCAGAGCAGTTCTAACATGCCATTTTCCCACTCAGGTTTAGAATCAGAAATCCATTCTCTAGATTTATTCTGATATACCCATTCTAGAATTAGACAGCAAGAGATACAATATGATCTCACTTCCACCTCATTCTGTAGAAAGAAAAATGGGTTTCTTACTTAATATAACGACCCCGTGTCTGATCATTCCTAGGGCTCTTTGCCTTCCTCCAGCCATGATGTCTCTGTTTATGCTGTCTATTTTTCTTTCCTTTTCCTTTTTTCCCTCCAGGCTTCAAGAGCCATAACAACCTTTCCCTCCCGCTAAAGATGGCGAGAGTGAGACTAATCCTCTCTCGCTAGGATTCTTCTTCAGGGGCACTAGGTAAATTCTATCTGTCCATCATAAAAGCTCATGGTAGGGTGGGGAATTCCCATCTTTGATTTATAACAAGGGGAGAACCAGCAAGGTGAAGAATCAATCTGAAGAGGGTTGTAAAATACATGATTTTTTCTGAGAACTAAACTTCAGTATTTGAAGTTGCTTGAGATTTGAGAGAAAATGACCAGGCAGCAATCCTAGGCAGTCTTTCTTTTTCTGTTGGGGAGTTCACCGCCAGATACTTTTTACCCAGGGGGTGATGTTCATAATGTCTCTTATAATTCTTTAACATGGAGTGGGTAACATTATTCACAGCTGAAATGAATGAATGACCCACCATTACAAAATTATCCCACTGGGTTTGGGTAATATATTTGGGTTAAAATTCATGTATTCCTGTTAGGAAGGGGTGTTATGGAAACAAATACTGCACAGGGTCATCCTGAAGTAAACTGTGGAGAAGACAGGCATCTGTTAGCTGGGTCTGTTTCCTGAAGACATTCTCATAATCATGTCCCTCCTTCTCAGCTCTCACCCTCATTCATGCTCATCACAGTCTGTGTGAACTTGTTAAAAGCTTCTACCAACTTCTCTTGGAGACTCAACCTGTGTCCCATCGCTCCTCAAAGGACCTGGGCCCCTGACGTTTGAGACCAAGACTAGAAAAACACTGTAAACGTACAGAGGTAAAGGTGGCTCAAAACTCAGCTGTAGAAAATACATACCCCATCCCAGGACATAGTACCAGCGCAGAGACTGTCCCTCAACAAACACCGACACTACGATGAGAGTGTGGAGATAGACCCCTTCACAGAGCATCCAGAAATAATTGCACGCCATCATGTACTGGTGGAAAAAGTGCAAAATCTTGCAGATCAGCTGTTGGAAAGAAATGGAGATACTTAGTGGAAGACACTAGCAAGGGTTTGGCAGCAAACAGGGTGAATGTGAAAATGAGCCAAAATATCTGCGTCCTGAAAGGCAGTGTCCCCAGGCATCTGTCAACACTTGTTACCCTTTATATGCAGACATCAGAGTAACAGAGTAATAGTGCATAGATTATTAGTATTACACGTAAACAGCCAGCCAACTGGGGCACTGGCAGCCGAGTCCCCCAAATGTTCTTTCCCCCTTACATTCAGGTGACTCATTTAGACTAGACAGGTTATCTTCCTGCAATGTGTCTGAGACCCATAAGTTTTGATAGCCTCCCAAGATTTGTCACATGACTTTTATGGCCCCTTTTCTGTGGCCAATGAGGAGCACGACGCAGAAACTAAAGTTCACCGTTCTGTTAGTGATGCCTCCTTAGCAGTAAAAAAGGAAAGACCAGGTGGTAAAATTTTAATATATGAGCCAGGAGCTATGCTGAGCCCAAATGATGTAATTCTGCTTTCAAGGGAGCCTTAGTTTCTATATTGGGTTTCAAGTGTTTGGGATACAGAGATTAAGATAACATCTTTGCTTAGTACTCAGTACTGATGTAGGATCCATCCACACTTGCGGGGCAATCAGATTAACTTCATATTGTTCTTATAGAAATAATTGTTGCTTAAACTGCATAACAGAACACCCTAAATGATTTCCTAGTCACCTCTAGAGGAGGGCTTGTCTTCTTGGCACTTTGATGTTTCAGACTGGGTAATTTTTTTTTTGCTGTGGGGGCTGTCCTGTGCAATGATGGGTGTTCAGCAATATTTCTGACCTCTATCCACTAGATGCCAGTAGCACCCCCACCCAGTCATGACAATCAAAAATGTTTCCAGACACTGCCAAATGTCCCCTAGGGAGCAAAACGTCCCCGTTGAGGACGACTACCCTAGGGCATTTAGCTGTGCTTGAATCCCTCTAACAACAAAAGTAACAACTTAGCATTCAAGGCCTTACATACTAGGAATGATTATTCGCATTATTGTACCAAGTGTTCGGCTTTACATTATGTTGCTCCTTACTACATTCTGAGTCTGGCGGGATTTTGGGCCTTCTGTTTTACAAAGCAAAGTAGCCATAAAGTGACTTTCAGTATTGCAGTCACCTTTTCAGGACCACTCATTTCTATTCAATGCATAGCAACTATGAGTCATTTACTGGGAACCTGACGTGCTGAGTCCTTTCAGGACTCATTGAACACAAGTAGTAGCCAGCTGGGTCCATGAGAAGGCAGACAATGCGTTTTTCAGAGTTAGAATCAACCTCTTTTCTGACCAAAGTGGGACAATAGTGTAGATAATTCAAAACATCAGGTAGTCAAAAAGTAATTTATATTTGGCTATAAAGGCATTGAGTTTTTTTTCAATCTGATTACCTTCCTAATTGGGATTATTTGATGTGATATTTTAATTAGTTTGCATTTGCTAAGCAAATACGTGCTATGTGCACATGACACTCAAACAATAAAGACTTGAAAACTCTAGTCCTTCTGATCAAGAGTTCCAGAGCAGATGCATTTGTGGAGGTAGGGACAAGAAGAGGGCAAAGATGATGGCCCTGTGCAGAGATGGGGCTCTGTATCACCCACAGCAGCTCTGGCTTCATGTTTTATTTACAGCCAATTCTCATTTTTCACAGTAGGCACGTTCCATATGGCTAGAAACAGTAGCACACTAAGGAAAAAATTGTGAGATGTTTGGGTTTTGTTTGGCTTTAAAAAAAAGTTGGCATGGGAGAATTCAAAATAGCAACCAGCCACTTCTTAAAGGACATGCTGCTAGAGTTTGGTTAAAACACATATGTTATTATTTAAGGTCTTTTGATTTTTCCAAATGGTGGTTCAGTTTCATGCAGAAACTATGCTTGGTTTTTTTGCTTTGTTTTGGTGTTCAGTCCTGGACTAGGTCCTAGAGTTGCAAAGACAAAGTTCAGTGCTTGCAGTTTGTTCATTTGTGAATGGCCAATATACATGTATCTCAGCAGTGCACCAGCCTGCACTCTGCCTATAGGTGGTTCTGTCGCTACCATTTCAGCGGGGTGTGTGTCATTCTGCCTCACGCAGGCACAAACTTTTGGGAAGAGGAGTTTGCATGGAGAGGATCTTCCCTGAATTGTTGAGAACTGGAGTGGGAAATACTATGGAGAGAAATTACTTGTGTTTTGTCCACAAAAGTGAATGAATCAAATCAGACCAACATTTGATTAGGCTGGTAATTTTCCCAACTCTCCTCTCTTGAACTGAGAGGGTGATTTTGATACACAGAGAGCTAGAAAGGACACGTAGCTTCCCTTTTCTTCTCCATTCCTTCATACACCTTATAAGCTCGAGATGCCCTTTCATCTACTCTTTGACATTCAACTCCAGAGGGTGTGGGCGTGGCTTCCTTAGAGGGGTAAGAGTTCTAAACAGTGTATGGTAATGAATCTCTCCCAAAATATCCAGTTCGAATGTAAATAATAGAAAAGTTTATAATAGTGCTTCTCACATTTTAGCATGCATCAGAATCACTGGGAGAGCTTGTTAAAACACAGATTCTTGGGCCCCAGGAGTGAAGATTCTAATTCAGAAGATCTAGTGTGGGGCCCGCGAGTCTGCATTTCTAGTAAGTGCTGGCGTGGCGCTGATCCTGCTGGTCTGGGCCACACCTCGAAGGGATTCAGGGTACAGAGAGAATTTCCTCACTACCTGACTCCTGTTTTAATTGCCTGCTGACCTTCCAGTGCTGATCATCCCAACCATCGAAGAGCACAAGCTTCCTGAGCCAGGAGACTCACAGCGCAACGAAAAACATGAACACCCTGACTTTGACTCACATGTATACTAAAGCCTCACGAGCAGGAATTACATAACTTTTTGTCAAGATACCAGTGCAGTTGATAAATTAAAGGGCAAAAGGTTCTCATATCAACTTGAAAACTGTCAACTGTCTGAAAGATAGCTGAATCAAGGAGAAAAATCCCCCATTCAGAAAGACAGCAGTAAATTTGCAGAAAAGTACTGTGGTCTTTCTGTGGAGGAATTTAAAGACATAACGATTTCAATTAAACGTGTGTCTGTCATGCAATCCTGAGCTGATTTCTGATAAAGCCTCAGAGAAAATGAGCTTGAATCTGTGCCATGCAGTCATGATGGTTGTGTATAGATAAAAAAAGAAAGCACTGGAGAAAAAAGTCTCATCTGAGATAAACACATTGGAAGATGATCAAGAAACTGGCAAAGAAAACACTCTGGAATTGTTCAGGAATTGAAGCCAGAGTCAACAGAAAACTTGATGGAAAAAAAAGATCTGTGAGAAATGTGGCAGGGGAGTAGAATTTAACAGCCTGCTACACTCCAGGGTCTTCCTCTGTATGGTGTAATGAGGATATTATATCACTGTTCACTGTGGATTTTCAAGCCACAACTGATTGAGTTTTATGTTTTTCAAGTCACAGCCCTTTTGGTTATTTGTGATTTAAAAACCTCTGAGTATGTGTATTTTGCTTTCACACTTAGTCCTTTGGGACTGAAGCAGTATTTTACACACGCTATTAATTTCCACGTCTCCCATACTGTCGAACTCAGAAATGAAACTGGGTACCATAGTTAGAAAATGACAAGTCCTTAAGGCAAGACAATGGTAACAACTATAATAAAAACCATACTAGCTAACATTTGAGAGTTCTTACATGCCAGACCCAGTTTTATGGATTTTAAGTGTATTGGTTCATTTAATCCTCACAAACAACTCTGTAAGAAAGGTACTATTATTATCTCTATCAGGCACGTGAGGCACAACAAGGTTAAGTAACTCGCTCAAGATGAATCTGTTAGTAGAAGAGTTAGGACCTGAGATTCCACAGTTCAGCAAGAACAATGCTATAGCATTTGGAGCCAGCAACCTAAGCACAACAAACATCAAACTGACTACTGCCCCATAGCTTTTTAGTAATTAACCAACATACACCCGCAAGGGAGTATACAAAACTTCTCGTATCTCAACTGGAAGGTTTTTGAGAATGGAAACAAATCTTTAAGAAGTTCTGCACTAAATTCATGACAGCCTTCTCAAAGCAGAGGAAACTAGCTGCAAATGTTGAGGTGAAGACTCACTACGTAAAACCATGCCACCAGATACCACGTAGGTCACTAGCTTCCTGTGCAGAGGGATCACCCAGACTGGCCAGAGGAGAGAAACTGGAGACTGAGTTGATGTTTGTAGCCATTTTAGGAATAAATTCTTCAAATCCATATAGGAAAGTGGTCAATTATAAATAATAAATTTAAAAGGAATAAATAAGTCCTCTATACTTTTCTATACCATATGATCTTGGTTTAAAGACCATTTATTCGTTTTGACATGTAAGTAAAGTGAAATAGCATAAATGACCAAGGTAAGTTACCTCATTCCATTACCATGCCTTGACATTATTCTCTCTGCACGGTCCCTCAAATCCATCATGCTTTTTCATTCCCAATCGTATGTTTTCTATAGGCTACCAAAATGGATAATTCCAACATACTTTTATCTACCATTGATATCTCATCTCAAAAATTCTGCTATCTCTGTCACCTCCCTGACATTTGTATGCCCTCCCTCCCATCAGCTTCCTCTGGGCTGGGCAGGAGTCCAGCTCCCACCCTGGGTTTGATCAGTTTAGCGCCTCACTTCTGAGTAGTCATTCCAAGCTGATCTTCCTATGACTAGGATGAAGTTCTGACATAGCCTGTTGGCTCAATTGTCCTTAACAAATGAGACTTAGTGGAAATTCACTTTTTCAGAACTTAGGACTCATTTGGCTTTCCTAACATAAGAGACTGCAGAAAATGTGACCCGATTGTTTTGGCTTTTGAGGTACAAAATGCTTGGGTTCCCAGCAAAAACCAATCTCCCTGTATTGTCCCTGTCAAATAAAAAGTTCTGAGAGACATTTCTTTCTAGCAAATGACAACTATGTGGCCAGCTTCCTTTAGGTGCAGCAAGAACAATGCTTTTAATTCTGTCTCCAAGATCATCGAATAAGCAGAGAGAACAAGAAAATGAAATTTTTGATATTATGGAAATGAAATGTTCAAATGACACAAATGACAATGGGCAATTTTCACATCACTCAATAAACTGAGGATCTATTCAGCCCTTATTTATGCCAGGAGTTATTTCGAGTTTAAAAATCAACTTTAAAAAAATGTAAAGGAATAAGATTCTCACCCTTGGTTTCACGGGAGAGAATCTGCCTCACTCAAAAACTTCCAAGGGAAGAGACTGACTGTTTTGATGGGAAAAGGATCCTCAACCCATAGGGATTCCCTGCTGAGGAATGAGAACACTGTTTTCTTTCGCCCCCAACAAAATAAACTCTTGCAGAAGTAGTATGAAAGCACTGGGATGATGCAGCCTCCTTTTAAAAGAAATAACTTTCTTTTTAATATATCCCCTTGGGCACTGGGAAGGAAAATCTTTTTGCCTCTTAGCTGCTGATTCAGGGACCTGAGAATTGGGTCAAAATGAAAAAAACAGCAACAACAACAAAAAACCCCCCACAGCCCTGCCTTTAGTTAGCTTAAGAAAGAAAGTGTCTTTAAAAATTATATATTCTTTTCTTTTTAAAAAGGAGACATAACGCTTGGGTCACAGGTAGATGAAGCGCTAATGGACATGCTTTAGTTTATGACTTGTTATAAGTCATAACTTATAACTTATGTTAGTTGCAGTTTCAATCAGTATTTGTAGACTGACAGTGTCTAATAACCTCCCCTTTTCAAAAATTTCTTCTGCTGAATTTTTGTTTTGTCTGTCTCTTCCTTTTTGGGTTTTTCTTTATTATCTCTACTCTTCCTGGCTAGGGAGGACATTAATGCTTTTCTGGAATTTCAGTTTTTCGAAAAAATGCAGTATTTCAAATCACTTGGTCATTTAAAATATCTGATTTTGCACATGACTTAGTAATACGCTGATGACATGACTCTCCATGTTTGGACATTATTTTCTCTATCTTTTTAGAGGTGGAGAACTTTAGCGCTGGGGAAGATGGGGCTTTTCTAGTTAAACCTGGTTAAACCTTTCTTAGTTCTTGTTTCTCCCCTTTATGTCCAAATATGTTACAACAGGAAAAAATTCCTTTCTTATTGCCGCCTGCATTTGTAGTTTCAGCTACAATTTACTTCAATAGTCTTTTGGATAAGAAAAGATCCTCCAGAAATCGGACTTCTACGAAAGCATTTACGGCAGAATATGCATTTCCAAGGTGAGATACCACACAAATTTTAAGACCTGTGTCTCTCTTAGAAACAGTTAATTAAGCAGTTTCAAGGATGAATAACATATAAGATATATCTACCCGAGAGTGTATTCCTTCCATTTCTTGAACTAATTTTGCCCACCTAGAGAGAGCAGTCCTGTGTTGTTTGTACGTGGAGGATTAGATAAGGGATACACCAAAATCTCCTTGGCAAACAATGACTGTGTTCAAACAGAGAAAGTACTAAAAACAAATGACCTAGTTTTTTTCCCTTTGGGCCAAGTGTATGCGTCACAATTTACAAACACGAATTAATTTTTGTCGTTGTGGCCACTTGTTTTTAGACTATGCTGTTTATGTGTATTTGGTGGAAGGCACACGTTTCCAGATTCTGTCTCATGAAAGAAACAGACTTGGGGACGAGGACGAGGCTCGCACGCTGTGACTGTCCCTGCCTGCCGCACCAGGGGGGTGTGATGGTGCCTTATTCTCATTTGAACCTCAGAAGGAAGGAGACTTCTCACTCAAAAAATATCTAGACTTCTTGCTCCTTTGCTTTCTGCTAAAAAACAGGCACACACACACTTTGAAATAGGTGAATAGCCGACTGAGCCTCACATGTATAGTCCTAAGACACAGCAAGCTGGTCCCATGGGAGGCTTGGCAGATTCTTGAGGATTATGAAAAGCATGCCATGAACAGGTATTTCCCCCAAATGATATGAATTTAGTTCAGCCTGAAGACTAAAATTTGAGTGTGTGGTGCTCAATAAAAACTTGACTGATTGGATGGAATTCTACCTTTCAAGTGTTCTATAGTTTTTTCCTAGGAAATTCACTCTTGCATAGCTAAAAATACCAAGTTCTGTTAGGTTAAAAATATACTGATTGGGAGAAACAGGTGTTAGTCATGCCATAAAGATAAGCTTCTTTCCTGCACTTTGAGAATGCCTAATGTATGTGAGAGAGCCACCCTCACTCCTCCATATCCAGAAGAAAACTTCCTATTAATTTCTCTACTCCCCTGCACTCACATTCACATTCTCCCAGGGAATCAGCTGCATGGTGGCTAAGCCAGGTCCCTAGATATCCGCTTACAGGCTTTCTTAAAGGTTTCTAGGCAATAAGGGAGCTGCAAGACAGAGCTGGGCTGGCTTGTTGGTGGCTGACAGGCAGCCGGTGTGAGGTGACTGGCAGAGCACATAGGCATGTCTGCCCCTAAAATATCCCGTGAAAGAAAACAGCCGCCAATGATAACTGATGTGACTAAGGGCAATGAATAGAGTAACAGATCGGTTGGGAAAGCCGTGTACAGAGACCTAGGGACCACAGGGCAAGGGGTCAGCAGTAACCGTGTAAGAGATCACTTGCAGTATCACGCCCTGGGGAATTTTTAAAAGCTTTATGCTTCTTTGGGACTCTGGGGTAACCCCTTGGAAGTAAGTAGAGCAGCTTTTATTATTCTCATTTGATGGATAAGGTTAAATGACTTCTACAATTTAATAGTGAACTCAGAAAAGTCCTGAATTTATACTACTTCAGGAAGATAATGGGTTTAGTATGATCTCATAATGGATGAGAAGCTCCCTTTACCTTAACAGCCAAAGAGTAGGCCAGAGGCATGACATATGGGTGTGAGACTCCCACAAGAGAGATGGGAGAGAATCTATTCAATAATTTACAGTGCTTCTTGACTGAACACTGCTCTCAGGTTGGTGGGCTGATTATTTAGTGACTAACGTGCCATTTCCTGGTCTACTTTGTACAAATAGTAATGTTCTCAGGGTTTTCAGACTTAAGGGGAAATGGAACCCCCAAATTTGAGTCTCCTCTACTGAGATATTCTTAGTCAATGGTTTCTACATGTTTTAAACTTAGCAGGTGTTAGGTTCCCTAATGAACTGCCAAGTGCATGTCCAGTTACAGACAACCATCCCTTTGGAATGGTTGAGTCAATTTCTTTAAGAGCAATCTTCCTAAGGAAATAAATCAAGATAACTAAGAGCACCAGGTGGTACAGAGGAGAGAGGATGGGCTTCTGTGTGAGACGGCTCTGGGTTTGAATCCCACCTCTAACTATCCACAGTGTGGAGTGGCATCCACATGCCTTCACTGAGCCTCAGTTTACCCAGTTAATAACGGGGCTAATATCCACCCTTCACTGGGGTCTTGTGAGGATTAAATGAAACGAGATTACTTTATTAAAATTAGTTGACATTAAAAAGAAACCTCATCAAGGTAAACCCATTCTGCACCTGAGGCAGGATTCTGTCTTAGATGGCAGATGCCATGTTTTAAAAAGATGGATCCTAATGCCTTTCTGGGTATATTCACACTACAAAAATTATTAACACTGTGGATCCATTAGAAGCCAAATTAAACTGCTTTCCCATGCCATGCCACTGTCATGCAGGGTGCACGCTCTGGGCAGATTTCACGCATTTTTGTCATTGGGTTGGCAGAGCTGTCAAATGCCAGTTCTGAAAGATGAGGCTGTCTACAGATGCTTGCATAACACAGTTAAGCAGAGACACAAAAATGAAAATATCCCTTGGCCATTCTTTGTGTGTTAGATAACTTCTGTTTGTACTTTCAGATGCGCTCTCTACCCTGCTGCTACTGCCCTGGGCCTGGAGCAATTGCTCTGCACGTCTCTGTCGGTGCTTCCTTGCCCTCTGGTTTCTGGTTGAGCTTGGTTAATGCGGGGGCCATCAACAGAGACTGGGAGATGAGTGAACAAGGGACATTTAAACCTTTTTTTTTTTTAAGTCATGCAGACACAGACATGATAATAGTTGTATGAATCACTAGAGTAAATGCACAGCTACTCACAGTGGAGGTGACTGGCCCCAGACCAGCCTGGCACCAGAATGCTGAGGGGATTAATACCTCCGCTCACCTGTAATCCATTAGTGACGCACTGGCGCCCTGCAGAGCACTGCCTTGGAACACCTAGTATGTGTGTTCAGTGAACTTCCCATAGATGTTAATAAATTATTGATTAGTCATAAAAACTCACGATTTATTGTATGATTCTTAATTTGGCTATGAATTAATTATTCCTAGCTCTTTACTACAGCATATAACCACTACTTCCCATAATCACATAGAAGATATGCTTTGCTTAATGCAAAACTCAGCTGTAAAAGTAAACATGATTACACATGTAAACATTAACACCATGCTCACTATTTGCAGGTATTATGTCCTTAAAAAAAATTAAAAACAAATCATTCAGTGCTTACCGGATCCCTTTTCACGAGCTCTCCATTGGGCACGACTTCGACCAGGTGGATGATGATAATTATAGAATTCAGGATGTAAGTCAGAAACATGTTCTTGTGCAGAGTCACCCGTTGGCAGCGAAGGCTCCTGGAAGGAAAAAGTAACAGAAAGGATTAACCAGGGCCAAAATGTTGACGTACCTGGGGGAAAAAACCCACGTTGGTAATATTTTTAGTATGTTCTTTAGCAAGAGACGAAAGAACATACAGAAATAAGTGAGGCTGGTCCCACCTCTAAGACTCATTACTAATTTCTGCCTGAGTTTTAAAAAGTTTTTCAGTCATGGTAGCTCACAGTTTTTAGTCTTAAGGGTGACTTCCTACAAAAACTAAAAGAGTGAGTGATAAAAATCACTTTTAATTACAACAAATGCTGTGAAATTAGTTAAGAGAAGGACTTTTGCAAGAGAAACCATTAGGGTTTGGAATTATGCTTCAGAAGAAAAGTCTGTCCACCGATGTGACCAGGCAGAAATCGAGTGGCAAATGGGATACCAGAGCCTGAAGTCAGGACCAAGACTGCCTGACAAAGCACTGAATCCCTGTCCTTTGCTCATCACATACACAGACTTCATCATCTCCTGTCACCCTTTCTCTTTCACCATTTGTTTTCATATCTTATTTTTTGTATTCCAACAGGAATCAACTCTGTGGTTCCTCCTTTCCATGTCCTCCTGATGGTGGAGCTCAGACACAGGCAGAGAATTCCGAATGGGCTCAGACTGATCTAATGCTGAGGCACAGTGTGGTTTGAATCTGGGACCGATCCAAGTGTGCTGCCTCTTGGCACAGCCATTTCCCACCTCGGGGGTATGAAACAGTTGGCTGGATTTTCCCTTCCTTTCCCCTCTACGTCATAAATGTGTACATATGTATTTGTGTGAATGTTCACCTAAATACACATTACTTTAAATATCCTATGTCCCTTTTTGATGCAAATGGAGAGAGCCTGCAGGATAACGAAATTGGAATGATTATCCTAGATGAAAATAAATCTTGTGTTTGACCATATTCGATTGATCCAGTCAAAAAATGTTTAGCAACAAGTGAGAACTTTAACATTAACCTTCAGTTAATGAGGTCAATGACTGAGCATAGTAACTATTTCTAAAAAATCTCCACGGAATAAAGCTAGAATCCCAGGCATTTTGACAAGGAATTTCTGGGGAGAAATGAAATATGAAAATTCTTTCCTATGTTTTCAAATCAAAAGAAAATGAGTTGTCAATTATCTGTAGTAAAAAGTAAATCTAGGCAATGAAGGCATCTGTTAGAGCATATTTTGATTATGGTAGCTACATTTCTCAACTTTTCAGGGAGCACAAGCATTAGCTGTTTGCTTTTTTTCAACCTGCTGAGCAGGGGAAGCGTGCAGGAGGCAGACAATGGTAAAGACGGGGTTTAGAGAAGAACTTTCTCTCTCTTTCTCACACACAGTACCATGTGCTGCTTGATGTAGCGCCAGAAAATTCTGTTAAATAAACTGAACATAATTGGTTTTATAAAAACACTGTAAAAGTTGGAGGAACACTTAAGGCTTTAAAAAGAAAAAAATTATTTATGTGAAATAAATAGCCCATTTGTACGGCATAAACTCTTCCATAAAGCAACTGCTAAACCTGTGACCTGCCATTTTTCACAGTCATAATAGCACTTTATAATCCTTCTCACTGGGAGGCAAATATCCATGGTCTCATTATGGGATTCAGCCTGGCTTAAACCAACGACAGTTGATATTACGCAGGACTAAGGGGTAGGGACGGATGCATCACTCCGTACTGTTATTCTCATGCGTGATTCTCTTTGGATTGGGTGCAGGTCAATAACCTGTCGATGGACATTAGCTTACAGGGTTGGCTAATGTCCAGTCTTTTGTGTAAACCACAACCACCCTGAATAAAACATACTTCCTCCACCTCCACCTGGCTCTCAGGCCCTTGTATCCCTGTTTCATCTTTCTTCTTAACACTTACTGCCTCCTGACAGATCCCACATTTGTTTGTCGCCTGTTATTTTCTCCTTTTCTCTCACTAGAATGGAAGTGCTAAGGGAATTTGTTTTGTGTACCTAGAACAGCGTCTGACACAGCGACAGGCTTGATGCTCTTTTTTGCATTAAAAATCTTTATATAATAGCAATTTTCTTCTTTGAGCCGTGACCACTAAATAGTTTTCCAGTACATCAGGGAACTACATTAAGTGCTAGACGATCTCATATCTTGCATTTTGCATCATACTCAACATTTGCCAGATTCTTAAAATAACTATTAACTAATATTTGACATTATCCTGTTGTTCGACATTAGTTAAAACCTATATACAGTACTGCATTATGTAATCAATGAGAAAATAATGGTTTAAAGCTAGATAAACTGTTAGGATCCAAAGGAAGAATATGATACTATATGAGTTTCTGTTTCTTGAAGGCTTCAATATAATTTCTGCTTATTGAGTTTTAAAGTTTTCATTACACTTACTTGATAACATTTACACTAAGCTTTTTGAAGGGAGTTAAAGGTACTTTAAATTTATCAAACTTCTTTCAATAATCCAACACATATCACGTGTGTACACACTACGATTCCAACCTTCTTGTAGATGCTAGGGACAAATGGGGGAACAAATAAACAGCTTCTGCCTTCAGGGACCTTATATGTTACATCATTATTTACTCCTGTGATACATGTTCTGAAAGAGACGTATAAGATGCTCAAGAGGATTGACTGAACTTAACATAAGTAATTATGTGTTTATTTATTCTCAATACAAATCTCCTATCCTGTTGCTTAAATGAACAAGAGAGGCGGACATTTTCCTGTCAGACCTGAAATGTCTTAAGTAGAAATAGCACGAACCTGATGTTAGCTATAATTTATTCCTCTTGATAAATAACAAGTATTTAGATGGATAGGACACTGCTTACTGGAAGTGACAGGGAACTATGTAATTACTATAGGTTCTCTAACAGTGGGAGGATAAGACAACATAATCTACTCCTGTCTTGGCTCAATCAAGGTGTCATTCACATGTGAGGAAGAGAGAATGATTTACTTTCATATGAGTCTCAAGATGTCGTACTTTAAAGCTAAATGTCATTTTCATGAGTTTATCTGGTGTAAATCTTTCACATTAAAACTTCTTTGTTTCAAGTTACTGGTATCCTGTGTATATATATGTGGGCTTTTGAGGATCCTGAAGTTGTATGAGAAGGTATTTAATATTTGCCTTGAGTTTTGCAGACTGTATAAACCAGTTTAATATCATAGGACAAGGAACAATTTTAACTAAGTTTTCCTTCACTTAGGTATTCTACCTTGCTCATGATGGACAAGAGAAGGGAGGGAAGGAGAGGGAATGTGAAATGGACTGCATTGAGAGTCCTAGAAAATTTCAAAACACAACATACTATACATCTTTCCTACTTGACAAGGCACTTAATACCTTTGGATTTAGCACAAAATCTTTATCCTTAAGGTACTCCCTTTCAATCATAATTGTTGCTTCTTTTTCTAATACTACTGTTCTATGAGTGAGTACGTGCCAAGAGATGACCAACAGTTATCTCTGGTGTCCTGTCATGTCAGGGGTGGGCTGGGAGAAAGGAGGCTATTTTGATGCCATGGATTTAATGGTTTCTCTGGAGGAATAGGAAGGCAGCCAGAGATGTGTAACAGGATACAAGATAAAGAGTTATCTATCCATCCACTATGTAGCTGTCACATAGCATAGGGAATACTGAGTGAGTAGGAATCAATATTCCTTTCGCAGGCCCGGAGGAAACCCTCCTTTTCTGCCAGCGTAGTCAGTGTAATGTAATGCAGACAATGTAATGCAATGAAGATACTCCTCCTCTTTCAACATAGATCTCTATTAACTTTCAGGCAAAGTAACTGATATTCCCAACATACAACAATCAGCAAGGCATGGGTACCAAACAGTTAAAATGTATGTTAATGGCTGTTCTATTATTGGACCTTTCTTAAGAGGAAACAGTGAGATGTTTCAGTATTTAGAATTATTCCACAGAAATGTAAATTGATACATTATAAACGGAACTGATGGGATAAGTGAATTTATCATAAATTTGCTTAAAATGGTCAGGAAACAAACACAAATGTCCAGAAAGCCAGTCTTCTCTAAGGGTATTTTTGACTCTCTTAGTGATGTTTGGTATTGGCATCTACCAGTGAGAGTCTTGGCGAACTGATCTGGTGTTTCTGTTGAATTTTTCTCTATGGTATTTTTTTCCCAGCAAAAGCCTAAACCAAATATCATCCTAATGAGGCTGTCTTCAACCTTTAACTGGTGGTCCAGAAGTAACCTGTATACCACCCTGAACATTATTATAACTTTATCACTTTTATATAGTTAAGGTCTTTAGTACTGCCTTTTCTAGCACTTAAATCACTGAAAAAAAGGTTCCTCTATCTTGAAGAGGGCATAGAAGTTCAACTTTCTTCTTTTAAAATAACAAAGACTTCATATACATTTCTACACTCATTTTCCGATAGCACAGGGAGCTTGTTTATTTGTTTCAGGGCTACATAGTCCTGCTTTTTATCTTTTCCTGTATGCTCAGAATAAAATCACATTAAGATTAGAGGCATGCCTTAATGATCTCATTCTGAGTAATATCCCAGGATGTTTAGCAAAGTGTTGGCAGTTCCACAGCCTCCCATATATTCAGTAACTTTAAATTACTCTGCAGGCCTTCCTGGCCTGCTGGTTTGGGAAGGACACCTGCAGGGTTATTCCTTTTTATAAACCCTTTAAGGCACATTTTAGGAGTTTAGAGTGAGATTTCAATGAGATGATTATGAATGGGGCGTTAGGTCTCAGAAGTGGAGCTGGGTATAACTTCTCATTTTGGTTCCATGAAAGTTTTATGAAATTGATTATTTGGATTTTTGAAAATAACTCAATCCTGGGCATGCAGAATTAAGCAACAGAGTGATGATTATTTTTTGCTCAGGGTTCAGAGAGATGATGCCGTTTAGGTGCATAAATGAAAAACCTCCCACTATAACGTGCAGCAAATACCACAAGGGTGATGGTGAGTGTTTGAAAAACATCTGGGAAGATATTTCTAATTAAAAGATACAATTCAGTCATAGATCAGAGCTACCTTTTATGTTCGCAGTCTCTTTTAATAGTTCTGAAATCCAAATGTAAGAAAAAAATTTGAAGAATCAGAAATATACCTTAATTGTAAGGAAAACAGATGGCCTTGATCTTTTCAGTTTGGGCAGATTTAAGGTATGATTGAGAACAGGTGTAAAAATCAGGCATGACTTCTTTTGGATCTGAGTACTTGGCATCTCAGCATGTGTTTTCTTCGTGCCCTAGTCACCCCTTCCTGTGTGCGCCCTGAGGACCAGCTATTTCAGTTTCTGTCCTTGCATTGCTATATTCAGATTATACCTCAGTGCGACTTGGTTTCCCTTCCAAGACTTAAGTCGCCGTTTGGTAGGTTCTTGAAACTAAGAGACAGGAGGGCAAAAATAAAATCAGTGCTTCCTAGACAATCTTCCCCCACATTCTCTCAAAGATTTTACCAGATTAGTTTTGTTTCGGGACTAACTGGAATTGAGAAATACTTTATTTCGCTTATGGGCTACAGTTTTAAATACCCGTCTTCAGTGGCTTAATAGAGAAATGATGATTGCAAGAGCATCCTTATTTCCCTAGATGATTTGGCTCTCATACCTCACCACTTACTTAAGTGACTGGAGAAATAAAGAGCTAAGATATGCTCCCCTGACATTTTTTTTATCTTTAAAGTCCTGCATGGATTTATTAGTTGTACAATTATAAATTTGGGGAGTTTCCTTTCCATTTTCTTACGGTTATATTAAAAAACGTTGAAAGAATAGACTTTTCAGTGATAGATGTTTTAATCAAAGTTGTACGAGAGCCATGATGGTATATTTATGCACTGTGGTCAAGTGCAGTTGAAAAATGAACAGACGTTCAAAGATTAATTATGCTAGGTGTTTGCTGTATTCTGATCATTACAATTGAAAAAATTATTCTAATTCTAATCATTAATCCCTCATGTCTTATTGCTTTATCAGTCTTTCTCCTGTGAACCATATATGGAAGGAGCTCATTCTTTGCTTACTTACATTATTCTTTGCTATTCAGCTAACCAAAGAATTGCTATTCAATTATAATGCTTAGTCAACATAAGAATTTTGATGATAAAAGATATAGATATAAAACAATGTATAATTACGATGTAAGATATAGACAAAAATTAGAAACAGGATCAAGGAGAAAAATTATAGTTGTGTTACAGGTATGTTTACAGGTGATTCTCCCCTTGGTTTAATTTTCTCTAGTATTATCATTGTAATATTTTAAGAAAAGTCAAATTAAAATTCTGTTATTCTACATGTGAATCACTATACATTTATTTACATATCACATCTTTTAAGTGTGGAAAATTATTTATAGTCTGTACTATGAGCTTTCCTTCATCATTTGTATAATATCACTAAAAAAAGTATTGCAGGAGGAAATACCATGGTAGTGCAGAAGTTAGAATTCTCATGACAGGGTAATGTAGTACCTCCTGACTTTGATTTAAAGAAATGACACTAAACTTAGAACATGTGTTTAGGACCAAATTTAACATATCTTACTATCTCACATACATTGGGAAGTCATTCCTCAAACTACAGAATCAATGTTTTAAATTCTCCATCATTGTAAAATCAGTATCTATATCAACTTAATCATTTTGCAATGGATAATGCAATCATTTGCATAGATGCAGCCTCAGAACAGAAACCCCCACTGGAATTTTATTCCTTATAGTTCTTAGAAGATCATTTCAGTTAACAATGCTAGGTTTGCAAGGGCAAAAAACTGACACTTGACAACAGGCCATCTTCTTCCAGAGATTCTCCTTGACTCTGGCTGAGTGAGTCGAGGCCAGAAGAGACTTCCTTCTCCTACTGAACACTGTCATGGCCCCACCTCTCTTCTGGCCCAATCCACTTACAATACAGCTCATGACTAAGCAGGGTGCATGTGAACTTGTGGCCACGGCCTTTTTTAGAGTGAGGGCAAAAGAAGAAGGAGGGTTCTTTCCCCAGTACTTCATGGAAACTTAGCCATCATAAGTAGAGCTTTACCATATTAATGCAGGCTATGTATGGGCTCACAGAATTATTTCATTTGGGGAAAGAGGCAGATTACCTTCGAAATGTATATGATCCCATCCTATTTTCCTCAAAAATAGGGTTAAAAGGCGTTACTTTAATTAATTTCATTTTTCTTGCTACTTCATGACTCCCAATGTTACATGTCTTGTAATTTGCAGACATCCCCTTGCCCAGAACACTTGCAGAGTTTACCATTTATTTTAGTACCTAAGAAAATTAAAAGCAGATGCTACAAGTGCACTTACCTGAAAAACATGAAAATCGCCAGGGAAATCGCCAAGACGAAAATCGACATAGAATGACCCACAATAGCCAAGTAGTACAGAATGAACGCGTTCTGGAACAACAACAAGCAAATAGTTACAAAAACAAATAGATGAATAAATGATTACAGAAGATGGAAAACAGTTTCTATTTTTAAATAGTATAAATCAATGACTGTTTTCCTCCTTTAAAAAAAACTACTAAAATAACAAATATTTAGAGAATTAAATTATATCAAATTATAAATTAGATTAACAGATTAACTATTATAAGAATATCAGTTAAGAATATGCATGACATGCTGGGAAGAATATAAGACTGAATTCATCAGAGCTGTTCTTTACTCAGAGTATTATCATTAAGTCTTTATGTGACCCCCCCTAGGTCACTTACTTCACTTTTCTAGACAACAGTAATCCTCCCCTGTAAAATCATTTGGTTGGGTTAGAGGATTTTTAAAGCAATTATATGCTGCTTGTAAGGAACATCATTTAATACAGGGGTATAGAAATACTGGATGTGAAAAGACGAGTAAGATGGACCAGGTAAACATCAACCAAGAAAACTGGTTCAGATGTTGACTCAGGAGGATACAGCAATTCTAAATTTCTATGCACCTAATAATGTAAATTCAAACTACACAGAGCATAAAGCAAAAACTGACAGCCCCTAGTAATCAAGAGAATGAACACAGGGATGACAAAGCAAACTACTGAAGATTTGAACAACATGATCAATAAATTTTACTAATTTACATATAATAAACATTGCACACAGCATCTGCAGAATACCCAATATTTTCAAATGCACAAGAAATATTTATCCAAATTGACATACACTAGTCAGTAAAGCAAATCTCAACATATTTCAAATAATTAAAATCTTAAACAGCATCTTCACTGACCATAATAGTCTAGAAATAATTCATAAAAAGATAACTTAAGAAACATCCTCATATTGCTGAAAACTAAACACTATATTTCTAAATGACCATTGGATCAAAGAAGAACTCACAATGACATACTAAAACTTTTTGGGTACAGATGAAGCTGTACATAGAAGTTCAAAGACTAAAATGCACATACGAGAAAAGAAGATTGAAAAATCAATGACCTAAATTTTCATCTGAAGAAAATTAAAGAATGTAAAAGAAAGGAAATAGAAATTATAAAGAGAATTTGAATACATGTTGAGTGGATCAAAGACAAAGCTGAGTCCATTCTGATTTGTTACTACTTCTGTCTTACTGGCTGTTAAATATTCTTCATATTATCTCTGCTTTGAAACATTTAAGCCAATGGGGCTGGGAGGGGAGCAGATACTCTTTTCTTCAGAGGCATCAGAAATGTGAAAAGATCACTTCCACTATAATCTAAACAGCCACACCTGTATCAATGAGCCGATGAGAAGCCCCATTCTAAGGGTTCCTTCAAGGGCTGACTGTAAAACTGTCATAGACATTTCAGGACAGAGAGTGGGGCTGGAGGCTTGTGGAGAAATTTGTAGTTTTGGGACTTTTCCAGAAGAGAGATGTTAAGGGAGTTCCTGAAAATGCTGCCTAATGTCTGGCATCAGGGAGAATCACATTGCCTGCTCCATGGACACTGTCGCCCTTGCCATAAACGGCCTGATTCCACAGGCTCATGGAACTCTGAGTGCCAACCAAGAAGTAAAACATCGTTTTCCCTGATGCAACGTCATAGAGTCCTCAGAATTTATAGGTCATTATCTGATTTCCTTCTATAAAATAGATTGGCTTCTTGGTAGCAGGCGTTTTAAAATTATGCATATGTTTCCATGTATAAGTAATGGCATTTTCACCCAACACGGAAATTTGAACTAGAACCTACCTGCAGCTTCTCAGGGGTGAAAGCGTTGCACATGGAGTAGTTGGACCAGGTTATGTTGCTCTCAGGGTCTTTGTACCAAATCCCGTCCTTACCACAGTATTTTGTAACTCTTTCTGTTAATGAAACAGAATAAAACCTCAAAATCGCAAGAAGGAAAAACCGTAATTTAAAGCCTAAAAGCCATTCCACAGCCATTCCACAGCTCACAATTCCAAAGGTATCAGGGCTGAGAATCATTGTCCTAAACCGTATGTCGGCCACCTTGGCTGTGTCCCATTACTGCTGATCATTTGACTCTAAGGGCAGGACTTAGGACAAAGATTTGCTTTTTATACTCTAGCATATTCCTTCAGACTATCAGCTTCTTTTGACTTTGAATGCTATTATTCACTGTTTCATTACCAACCTGTCTTTTACCAAGCACTTTGTCTAAAATGAAGTCTCTTGTCATTATCAAGATACAGCTTTGGGTCAGTGGTAAAATACTAAAGAATTTAAGTTTATTGAATATAGGTAGTTTTAAGATTTGCCTTTCTTTTGAAGTGGATTTGTCTCCCAGCTGAGAGGGCTCTATCTAAAAATCAGGCTGAAAAGATGGATCTATGCCTGGAAATCCCTGTTTTGCTGACCAAAACCTTGCCTTTTAGTCGATAATGACAGCCACTTTGGCGAGAGCCCATTGCTGCTTTGGACCTGGCCTTGTAGCCTCAGTCGCAGAATAGCTCTTTGTGCCAATCAAGTTAAGCTCTAATGTAGTTGTCAGATCCAGGTTAATGAAGCATCATTTGTTGGGAAGAGTCAATAAAGACCTGGAGAATTACCAACAAATAGCATTTAGTTAGAGTTTACAGGAAGGTAGTACTGAGCAGGGCATAGCACTAAGCCCTTTCTCTCTTCACATCCCAACTTTTCCATCAGAATGAGAATTCCTAGAAGCAGCTGGCCTGAGCTGGTTTTAAAAGTGCCCCACTGTCATCCCACTTCCATTATCTCTGTCTCACTGGAGTGGAGCTTTGTATCTCCATGAAAAGCCTTTCCCACACACCGTCTCAGGGAAAGACTAATTTCTCTGCTCTGATCAGGATTCCAGAAATGTTCTTGCCTCAATTTTATTGTATGACTGCCGTTTTCTATCTTAACGGATGTCCTCACTTTCAGTCTGTGGGAAATAACGTCTTGTCACTCACAGACCATAAGTGAGGGTAACCAGGTGGACTGGTTGACCCTGAGCTGTGGTAGAAAGTCCGACCAAACAAGTCTTGGAAAAATCTGAGTCAAGGTTGATTTTTCTGTCATCTCTTAAGCAGGAAACACTGACTTCCTCTCTTCAAAATGCTATTTCCAGTCCAGATCAGCTAATTCAAAGATCCTCCCTTGTCAGGACCCTGGCATTCTCTTCTCCTAACTGTATGTTCTAACTCTCTCCTCTGGAACCACTCCCTCGGAGACACTGATGGAAGGAGGAGTGGAGGGACTGCTGTGTTCTGTTGCCCATATCTCATTAGAAGAGATAGGGAGCTTGAGGCAGAATGACCTGCGTGCTGGGCACTCTGTCCCCGCACCAGTCAACCAGGGGCTCTGGTTTCAGCATTTAGAGCCACCCGAACACTTGCAGGCTCGGGCTTACTGTGCTCTCGGGAACAAACCTCACCCGTTAACAGGGACTTACACGGTGTGTCTGCAGCGGGACCCACTTCACTTCAGGCTCTCCTTTAAAACTAAGATTCATACTCCCTTTTAAGTTTCTTAATCCCGGAGTCATTTCAATGGGACAGATTCTCTATCTAGTTGCCTAGAACAGAACTTTTCTGGCCCTGATACCCACGGTTCCTGGAGCTGACCAGCTGCTACCTTTTGTTCCCCTGGGACCCACCTTCCTCCACAGGCTGCATCAGTCTCATCCCACCCCGGGCTCTGCCTCTCACGGGCATAGCGACTGAGTGCACTGGCTGGGCTTCCCTGGGACCAGCCACTTTCTCATCTGAACTTCTACTGCTTACTACATTTTCACATCGGCTGCACGATTTAGTCGGAACGTTTAAAAATCCTGATGCCCAGGCTGCACTCCAAAAGAGTTAAATCCAAATGTCTAGGGTGGTACCAGGGATGAGGATTTTTTTTTTTAAAGCTCCCCAGCTTCTCAGACAAGTTGAGAATCACTTATGCACTACTAGCAGCTACCTAATCCCACTCCCCAACCCCATGGGGCTCGTCTCTGGATTGAGGCTGTGACACAACCTCGTGCATGCTTCTCCTCATACGTTCCTCTGCATTGCTCCTGACCACTCACCACTGAGCGTCTTAGATTCCGGGCCTCCAAACTATTTGGACAGCTGACAATACTAAGATGTGTGACTTCAGTCTCCAGTTTCTCATTCCACGTGGCACCTGGTACTCCTGCCTAAGCACCCCAGCCCAACTCCTAACCACATGTGTGGCTAGACTGAGGGTCGACGGAACAACATGTCCTGCCTTGACAGTTCTGAAAGTACTTCAATCTGCCTAAGTTTGTACAGTGATCTAGAAATACGATTTCTCCAATGTTTTTCCAAAACTGTTGCACTTAGAGTTAGGTAAGAGCTTAGGAGACTTGGCTTCACTTGTGGTTTTATGTCAAATATTGTGTCAGTATAAAATGAGATAACATATACAAAAATGATATTCAATGCAAAGTATCCCTGTTACTTTTATAACTAAAGGGAATTTGGTATCATTAACTAACATACATTTGCTGGCTGTTCATGTTGTGTAGGACAGAGCTGGGTTGGTATGATCCATTTTATTAGTATTAGTCTCATTTACTGAGCATATTTTAATAAGCTAACGTTAGAACAGAAAGTAAATGTCTAGAGTTAGCACCTTCTGCTTTGTTTTCCCTGCGCATGACAGTTGTATATAATTTTCAAGGTTACATAAAATTTTCACTGTACCTGTTCTATCAGACCAGTACACACAAACTCTGGATCAAGCATTTAAACTTTCCTTAAAATGTAGCTGTTCTATCAGACCAGTACACACAAACTCTGGATCAAGCATTTAAACTTTCCTTAAAATGTAACAGTAAATATTTAAACTATATAAAATTTGGATTTAAAATTAATAGAATTTATGACCAAGGTGCATGAACTGGTCAGTAATGTGACTTAAACAAAAGGACAGCTTGCAATCCTTGTACAACTGGGTAATAGTTCATTTATGGAAATACTTCAGAGCATGCTGAACTATGCAGAGCATTACTTGGTAGGTATATTTTATATCTGATTTTCTTTTCAGAACTAGAAAAACTCTGAAAGCTTCTTCATAGCAAAATATAAAATAAAATAATAATAAATACCTGCTGAATCAAAGTCCGGGAAATAATCTGGGCAGTACTGATGGGCGAGAATTCCAGCCGGTGTGTCATCCCAGCAGGTCCATCCATCCCAGGTACGGTTGCAAAAGGGGCCTGGCCATTTAGAAATTATATTGCAGTTGTCAAAAATGATAGACTCCTCAGCAGGATTTAACAGCACATAGACAGTTATTCTGAGGCTCTCCCGTTGGATTTGGAAATACTAAAACAACAGTAGCATCAGCAGAGCAAAATAAAGGTATTAACTTTTCCAACTACTAAGGGAATTTTTTGTAGGATATTCTGCAGTTATTCCTCAAAAGCCATAATTTGTCATCTGTACAGAATCTTTCCTCCGAAATCTTCCCTTTAAAATATCTCCAGAAATGCTACCGAAGAACTCATGTGAAAGTATATGCAATATCACCCCTGGATAAAAGGCTTTGGGCCATACGTATCCTACTAACCATGAACCTTCAAAGGGTCGCCTTGGGTAGTTCTACTGTTAATCGAGGGGGTGATACAGTTGTTCACCATTCCTACTGGAGATGCATTTGCAACTAGTTAAGACTATTTTTACATGCAACCCATTATTACTTTAGAATCACACTTTGTTACTAGCTAAAATAATGCTCAGTTTGATCACTTTTATGTATTCATCAACACTGGTTCCAAGTGGTTTCTCACTGCTTTCAAAAATTAAATCTACCCTAAAACATGAACATTTAACTCTGTAAAGATATTCAAAAGAATGAGCCTCAGGCTTTGAAGGCAGTTCTCTAAAAAAAATTTTTTTTAAAATAATGATCATAACACAAAACTTCAACCTCCCCAGATGACTAAGACCAAAGTGCAGGAGACTACACACACTTGCTTTCTCAAAGTATCAGTTTTGTGTTTCTATTGTTTTATCTGCTTCAGAGAAATGGTTTCTTCTTGGGGCAGAGTTGCATCTCTTGCCTTTTTGGGCTCTAAAAAAAAACATTGAAACTACTGTAGACAGAAGAATGACATGTATCTATCAATTAACTCATTTTTACATTTAAAGGAAAATGCTAAAAATAGGAACTACAAATTAAAGCTTTAACTGCTTGATGGCAAACCATATGTAATAATAGAGTATAATCAACCAATTTCCCCCCCTGCCAAGCAGTGTTGTCTTAACATGTGGGAGGGCACACAAAATCTCACTGGGTCTTTTCAAATGTTTTAGGGGACAGAGGCAGAGGATTCAGATGGATGTAGCAACGCTTGGCCATCGCATCCTTCCTTTTGTTTTCCTCTGGGCCCAATGTAGCTAATAGAATATGCTTGGCCCTGGGAATATTTGGGCAGCCACAGAGAGCATTCTAGAGAAGGTGACAGATAAACAGTGTCTGCCTAGGAGGTATCTGTTTCCACTTCCTCTGGGAACTGAGGGTAGAAAAGGAGAAGGAATAGCACAAGTCGCCAACCAATTGACAGTTAAGGGAAGATACAACCTAATTAACCCAAACAAGACAGAGTGTGGACAGGTTTCACCTCAGGCTAACTCTCTCCCCCCCATTTTCCAGCTCTCTCCCTGTCATTCACCAGTTCCTCTCCCTCATGTAGTCCTGCATTGCTCCTGCTTGCCAGGGGTGAATAGTGAGTTACCATAGTAATTTTGTCCTAAGTGCAGCCGTGAGCCAAAAAGCAGCTGGATGAACTGGAGCCCAGACACTTGGCGTGTCTGCTGCATGAAACACACACGCATACCACGGTGTGGAAGCCACTGTTAAGACTATTGGCATATTAAAATTAGTCAACATACATTTACCTAGGGAAGAAAATAAGCCTTTACTGATGTTTGAAACACATTCACATACAGTCTTCTTTTTACCTTGTCCTTGGTAAGGGGGTAACCTTCTCATTCGGTCATAGCATCTGTGCTCCGCCTCCAACAGCCTCTGTTTCCCCAAAATGTAGAGAAATGGCTCCGGCTCTGTTGTCGGATGGTGGGTGTCATTTGAAGTGGCAGGCAGAGTTTCAGTCGGTAGCTGTATTAGAGAGGAAAACCAGTTACTTACGGAGAATGGAGATGGGTGAACACATAAATAAACCAAACAATCAAAAACTATGAAAACATTTATTTTTCCTTCTGTAAGCAACAATTATGCATGGTCTCCATGCGGAATATTTTTGCTTTATAACTAAAAAGTGTATTTATATTTCATTTGTAACTTCTATCTTCAGATTTCATATCTGTATTCATTTATTCACTCTTGGAAATGTATAGCACTCACACAGACTCATGCACATCTTTAAAAGATTGTTTTAATTTTATTATCACTGTAAAGTTCAGAAGCGAACAAAGTAAATAACCTGATTTCCAAACAAAGACTAACACTAAAGTCAACTTTGCTTTCTTTGGAACTCCTAAGAATCATGAAAAAGTAGGTACCTTGGTGCAATAAATAAACTTTTTTAGTTAGATTTTCAGCTGATTTTTGCTTGTGCTTAGATTGCACACACTGCCAAAAATTTATCCCATTTATTCCACAGGACAAACAAAAATCTGTTCTTCTGAGATATTCTCCTTTGGATAATGGGCCTTAGTTTCTTTAAATTGGTTTCATCAGCAGATGACTTATACAAGGTAATTCATTTTCACTGCTGAAAATCAGCGTAAATCTTTTCTATTTCTCTGAGCGCTTTTGCATTTTCAGTGCAGGCTGGTGGTAGTTTTGCCCGTGACTATTAATCCTCACTAGCATCATAGGCCCTGTTTATCAAAGTTGGTGTGTATCTGACAAGATGAATGTCTGACAAATTGTCCTAAGTTGTGTTTAGATAGATTTCCATTTCTTTTGTGGCTCTGATGTTTTTAGTGGTGCTTGAATCTGTGATTTTTTTGGTTTTATATCCCTGTTCTGCTTACTGAATTTTTTGGAGAAGGCTTGCAAGCTTCAGCCTGCATTGACTTTTCTTTCTCTGAAGTTAGAAATATTCTATCACATCTTTTGAAACACACTTTTATTAGACCTTAGTCTGTTCTAATTATTCTAAGATTAAAGTTTTCCCAATGTAGTGATGGCAGAAATAGTGTTATGTACCTTCTCTATTCTCCACAGTCTAAAATAAACATCCTTATTAAGTTGACCTGTATACCCTAGGTTATTCATGGTAGAGCCTCACTGTTTTCCAGTGTATCTCATGTGTAGACAGAGCATCCTGTATTATGAGACAGCCTATTTCTAAAGGCTAAATTGTACAACACATTAAACAATAAAAATTCACAGTAAAGAGAGCATGGAGCAAGAATAGTCAGGAGTAACTACAGATACAAGGCAGAATTTGAACTAGACCTTTAGTATATGTAGTGTCTGCACAGGGAGAAAGGAGAGGAAAGGCTTTCTGGATGGAGGGAAAAGAGTGCAGGTAAGCCCAGAGGAAGGAAACGGCATGTGTGAAACACTAATGAAACCATTCTGCCTGGAGGGGAGCATATTTGAGGGTAAGAAATGAAATCATGGAAAATCAGATAATACAGAGCCCTGAGAAAACAAAGTGTCTGGGACATGAAAGGCTCCATATATTTTAGCTAATATTTTTTAAAATAATGACATGATGATAAAGATATTTTGCAGTTTGATCAGTGAAGGTTGTGAAAGGAGAGTATTGGTAAAATTCACGTGGTAGGTATCAGATGTCCACAGATTCGAGTTGGACTTGATGACTTTATGATGGAACAAGAAAGAGCAACTTTCAGCACTTTCTCAGATAATGAAAGCATGCAGGTCTATTTGAGTATAAGGAATGGAGAACAATAAGAGTTAAATAGCCCGGTTTGACTGTAAAGAAAATGATTGTGCCCCCAAGAAAGAGAAGGAGTTGGGAAAGGAAAACCTTACTAGGAGAAGAAGGTAAGTTGTCTTTTGGACTGGATTTGGAGGTGCCAGTAAGTCATCTGAGTAGAACTCACTTGCAAACAGAAGAGGGTGAGTACTAACTTAAAACATTACTGTCTTAATGCTAGATGGACATTTATTGTGGATATAGTTGACACTATTCTTTAAGTATTAGGATTATTTCTAATTTTAATTTGTGACAGAAGAAAAATTAATGAACTGACAATGATGATGAAAGGCATACAAATCTTTTACCAATGTAGCTGAACACCATTTTGTCACATGACTCCTTTCCCACTGGTTTTAAGATCCATCGTGCAGCAATAGTCATTAAACTTGATGAGCTAAGCTTTACTGTAGATGCTGAGGATATGGTGCCGAATAAAACAAGCACCACCATGCCCTCATGGAACTTACAGCCCAGCAAGAAAGACCAACACTAGAAATATTTCCTGACACCAGAAATTATGAAAGGTAAAGAATTATCAGTCATTAAATGCTCAGATATTCCATCAGGAATTGAGAGCTGGTCTGGGAGTAAGAAAAAGTATTTTGAAGAGATTTCATGTAAAGCCTTCTTTTTTGGATTTTATTAGCCTACATTTGTATGAATGTGTGTGTGTTTGAACAATCTGACCAAAGATCACGTAACCATAATCTTTAATTTATTGTCCTCAAAATATAAAATGATTGGTCCAGCTTATTCATCTATTTTACATTCTTTGTGGCTCTATTCTTATAATCTTTAGTTGATATGAAAATCATTTGATATATTACTTATCTCTGGTAATTTTCTCACCATCTTTAAATCAAATTAGAAGATGTAGTATGATGTCACATATAAATCTTTTCTGTCACTTATTAGATATTTTAGACACTAGGGACTATTTTTAAGTTTGACATTCTTTCCAGAAGTAACATTCTAAATTCTATCTTTAAATGGACTGAACAACCAGTTAGAAAACATTCCTGTGTTAGTCAGAACCTCATGGAAGCCATGGGGAGGCAGCATGTGCAAGAATAGCAAGTGGGAAACCCTATATCTGTGTTTTCAATGACAACATCTGGCATAACGCAGTTTTAACACCAGTAACAGTGGAGATACGACCATCTGAAAAAGTAGGTGTAGTTCCTGTAGATGACAGCAGCATTGATCTTATCATTCTTGCAATGTTGAAACAAACTCCAGTGAACTTTTAGAATCTGGTTCAGCAGAGATTGTTTCAACACTGAGGGAATGAAAAAAGTAGAAGCACTGTCCTTAGATGAGCCATAATAAACTGAGTCCACTCCTGGTCTGGTTCATATTTGAGCACTGATGATGGAATTTTTCCAGTGGTGGCCGAATGTTTCAGTGACTTTCTTCTGAAAATACACATTGAGGCATTCTGTTATCTGTATACATAACATATGTAGATATAGACATAGATATAGATACATAGCTACTACATCAATGTAATAGCTACGGAATTACTGCTGCTTCAGAATAACACGTATGCAAATTTCATCAAGTTCATTCAACATATTAAACTTTTTGCTGATGATTTCATACAAATAAAAATTGCTAGTGAGGTGGTATAATTTTCAGCAATAAAGAAGTAAAATAGAAGCAGCAGTGATTAGAAAAAACCACCAAGCAATGTGAAAAACTAGAATAGTCCACTTATCATTAAGTGATATGTTTATATTGTATGTTTGTTGGATGTAAATAAATATGTAATTTTATGCTTACATGAAGATAGAAATGAGATATTATGGGCATGTTGTTTTTCTGAATAAAGACTGGAATTCAAAGTTTTACATACAAGCCATCTTGCATGATTCCTCCAAAACAAAGACAAAAACCAACCTCTTAATTGTTGTCCTATGTAGCAGTTTAGCCGCCGTATATGTGATGTCACTCCTAAAGGCTCAAGTAGATGACGCCACACATACGACCACCAAGCTGCCACCAACAGCTGTAGTCCGCAGCCGAAACACCGCTGTCCTTTCACTTAATACTTTGAGTGCCTCCCACATGCCAGGCACTGTTCTAGGTTCTGAAGATTCAGCAGTGAACAAACTGGCAAGGTCCCTGCCCTCATGGAGCTTACATTCTAGGTTTCATCCACACTACTCATGGGTTTGAGAGGGAAAGCCATCTGATTTGAATGGCCATGTGTTTAAGTAATTCCTGCTTTGATGTAAGACAATCAGCCTCCTTTTGGGGTATAGGTGGTTTCTAGAAGTACAGAGACAGAAAAGCGGAGAGCTGTTCCATGTAGAACTTTGAGAAATGGTCCAAACCTACAGACCGTGGGGACCCAGGTTACAGTGTGGCAGGAAGAAACTGCTGCTGACTGCCATAGACAGAACTGCTTCAAGAGGAAGATGAATCCAGAGTCCACAAACTGATACAGCCAACTTTCTGTGTCACTATCCTTAATGATAATGTCAGTGTTAGAATTTGTAGTTTTTAATTACTTTTCAGAACAACAAAGGATAAAAGAACTTTGTAAAGTTCTTTTAGTAAAGTAAAAAGCCCTGTTTTTGCCAGGGAGGATCAGATGTCTGGTTGGTGTCCTATGTTCTTTCTACCTAAACATTATGTAAACAACAAAACTGCTGCACAAATTCAACACAAATAGGGGAATACAGCTAAGTAAACAGTAACATAATGCTTCTCAGACCTACTTTTTCTATGTCTTTATTATTGTTTGTCATCACTAGCAAGATTTGAGCGCTCACTATGTGCTGAGCACTGTTCTAAGCCTATTGTATCCTGCAGATAAGGAAGAGGAGGTGAGGGTGTGGTTTTGGTGAATGTGGATCAGGCTAATAGTATGTGGTGACCCAAAATGACAGTTCCTTAAAGACCATTTGGAAATCAGGTTGGTAGAATTCAATAAACACACTGGTGAAGTTTTTTCATAATAATGTATCCAAGAAGTGACATTTTAGAGTAATTAGAATCAAGTTATTTTAAAAATTCCTTTTCTCTGAGGAGTATCAGTGTGGAACATGGTGTTTTAGAAGAAAATTTATGTATCAAATTTTTTTATGGACAAATCCTCCAAATCAAATATGTACTCCAAATATAGACAGAATCAAATTTCTATTTGTCACAGTGAAGAGAGCACAAAGCCATTTAGGTGCCCTGTGCAGTTTATCTTTTCTAGTAAAAGGATGTCCACAAATCATAAAACATCTGTTATTCTCATGCAAATAAACGAAATTCTTTCACTCTTTGAATATTAAAATGTTATCAGGTAAAGTTTTGATGAAAGTGGCTACTTTAGTTTTTAAAACACACCAAAAATTATCTGCAGTCTTTATAGCAAAAAAGGTGATTGGATAATACTCAAACTATCTTATTATCTAGTAGTTTTAGTTTTTCTTCTCTCAATGTCTAATTATACGCTTTATGAAACACAACTAGGCATATTCACATAGGAGTTCATTTGAGGTATCAATAGCAGTTTCAATACGAATAGAATACATCAATATTTCTCAATCTATAGAATATGACATAAAACTTGGGCATTTACAGACAATAAAATATTCTAATAGTTTCTATAGTATTGTTTAAAATTAATTATATTTCCAATGGCATGAAGGTACCTGTATTTCCAAATACTGGATTACTTTTAGCAACTTACATTGCACTTTGTCTAAAGCTTAAAACATGACAGTCTTACATAATAAACTATACTCATTATTCAAACAGGTTCGAAAGGGCTACATTAACAATCATTCCCCCAAGCTATCTGATGTATAATCTGATGTATAATATTAGAGAATGAAAACTCCCTTTAAAATGAACACTTATGGAATATTAGTAATAGTTTTCCTTGAATAATGTGAAGAGGAGATTTCTTAACAAAGTATTAAGAAAATTATAGTTTTGGCTTCTGGAGAACAACGTCTACCCTTGCAAATACCCATTCAATCATCCTCAATCAAACTGTTTCAGCATTCGGGATGAACATAGCTTAGCATCACTTCGTTTCACTTACATTTAGGAAGAGCAAGAAGATAAAGCACCAGCGTACCGGTGTGAGCTTCATTTTTGGTCTCAGAAGATGATCTTCCAAGTCCTAGAAAAATATAAAAGTAACAAAGGCATTTAAATTAATATAGCTCTAATATTGACTATGGCCTTTTTTTTCATGTCTTTTTGACTTGAAGACGATCAATGACCCAAGACAGCCTAAAAAAAAACCATGTAAGTAAGAACAGTCTGATTGTGAGGCAAACGCAGCGGCATGTTCCATTGCCCTTCCTTTCAGCCAGGAAACAACTGTTGTCTGGTTGTTGTCTTAAGTCCTCCCGCTAAGAAATACTTATCAGGACTACAAGAAAAGATTCCAAGAAATCAAGAGCAATCAATGTGGACTTCAGTCAACATGTGGCATCAATAGAACTGCTGAAAATTTCAGTGGAAACATCCACCAAAAAGTCACCTCAATGTACATGAACAAATGCAATTTGTGCCGTGTAAGGGAAGCAACCGCTATGCCTTCTAGGTAATCAAAAGGCCAACTTTTACTTAAGGAGTCTTATTTAGAGCCTTGAGGTGTTTTCTTTCCTACCAATACTTTCTCAAGCTTTAAACTGCTCTTCAGAGTAAATTTCTTCCACGGCAAGGCTGGTGGCACCAGCTTGCACGGCACCTAACAGCTCACCATTCTACTCGAGAGCACAACAGTCAGAAACAGGCTGCTTGGTTACAAGTGTCAACAATGTTTCATGACTCTGCAGGTAACTTTACACACGGAAAGATAATGAGGGGTGAAAATGTAAAAGAAAATTTCTTTTCATCAGTGGGGTTTGTGTGAAAACTATTTCAACTGGGGGCGAATGGTTATAATTGCATCTAACACTATGTTGATTGTACCACTTTTAGATTTTACATATTCTGCTAGGTATGAGTTAGTATCCATACTGTGCGCCCGTTGGGCTGCACCCCACAGGCCTGTAAGCTTTGTAGTTGTCCAGCCCTGAGACTGAAGAAAGAGTCTGGAGACAAGGACAGAGACATCAATGGTTTATGGGACACCTTAAGCAAAAGGTCCTGGAATGATATCCTACCATTATAGCATTATTACTGCCTACCATGGTGGGCAAGAAATGGCGGCAATCTTCACTCCTCCAGGGAGAAGGAGCCTACCATTTACAGAGAGAATTGACAACAGGTTGGCTCAGTTACTAGGGAAACCAGCAACTAGGGCAGGGGGAAAGCACGTAGGCAGTTGCTAATTAGGTCCTGCGATTAAGAGGACTGGGTAGTCATGTGAGAAAAGCAGGGACTGGTCAAGTGAGGGATATACAAAGAGCAAGAGAACAGTTATCTCGAATGGCCTAACCATACCCTCCACCTCTACAGACCCTGCACACGATCCTTACAATCTTAGTTTGCCCCTCTTCAGTGATATCCCTCAGGGATGTAAAGGTGCACTGCAGCCAAAAGCCATACGTGCCTTACGGACAGCGGCAGCTAACGCATATCAAGAGTCCAAGAGGTGGGCAAACTTTGGAGCCAGGGCCTTATCAGGTCAGGTTTCCATGGAAGTCCAGAGGAGGATGACCATGCCATCTTGCTACAGCAACCCAGCAATCAAACTCATTTTGCAGTGAGGCCATCATTGTCTCCCAGTCTGAGAACAGATTCCCTCTGCCCACGCTGGGGATGTAAGCTGTTTCACAGCCACAATACAGGGAAAATCATGACCATGAAGCAAGATATAAGCAGTAACAGCATTCTGAGATAATGGTACCTTTGCCTGTGGTTTTGGTCCTGGCCTGCAGTACCATACACTGCCTGTCCACCCTCAGTCCCCGCAGCTGGTGCCGAATACTGGAGAGGTGGTAAAACAATGGACCACAAGGTTAACATAATAGTGCCTTTCTCCAAAGGGAGCCCAGTAGTTGCCTTCATAGTCTCAGGTGGGGCTGAGTAGAAAGCAGGTGAAGTCTGTAAGGCCCTTTCTAATCTATTCCCCACGAGGCAGCAAACCCAAACACCGGGGTCTTACCTGCCAGCCCCAGGGCCATTTTAGAATGTGTTCCCCTGGAGGGTAGATCCTATGGCAAGGGCAAAAGCAAGTTACCCTGACCGACAGTTGGCAGCGGTCCTCCGGTGGTCAACATTTGAACTTGGATTGTGCTGACTAGTTACCTCCGGGTTAACACGGCGTAAGCACTGGGGCGACTGCTCCTGGGATGTGTTCACATGAGAGAGCACGTTTCCCTTCTCAGTTTTTACTTAAATCATTCATTCACTGCTTCAACTAGCCCGGCAGCAGTGGGGCTGTAGGGCGTGTGGAAATGACAAAGTATTGCATTTTTATCAGCTTATTCCTGAACTTCATGACCAGTAAGGCGGGGCTTTTTGCATTTCCTGACGACTCAGGTGGGCCTTCTGTAATGTATCCCACCTGTTGTAACACAGTGTAGACTGCATATAGCTATGTTCCATCACACGCTATCATTGCTCTGCCCCTTCCATAGCTGGGATCAGAAGCCCAAGGGTATTTTACCGTTGCCACAACCACACCCTTCTGGGTAACTGGCAATGTCCAATTCGCAAGCCTGTCCCTAAGTTAATATCCCTGAATCCTGTGACTGGAATTGTTTAGGGGCGGCGGGTTGGGGGTGTGTTTGTCATTCCCAACCATGTAAGGCCCAAGTATTTGAGAGATAATCCAGGACCTTGCATTTTGCCTGTATTCAACAGCCATCCCCATGCAACCAGCTGAGCCACAAGCACGGGGCTGCTACTTTTAAATCAGAAAGAGGCTCTGAGGTTAACAGGATATCATCAGTATAATGGATAAGAAAGACATCTCTCATGGTAGACAGCTGCCCAGGGCCCCACACACCAGTGGACAACCACCTCGGGATCACCCCCGCAACTTTCCATACCCTGTCCTTGTTTTCCGGCATCTCGGTGTACAAGGGAGTCTTCCTGGTCTCTTGGCTGGCTTCCCAATCCTTGGGCTGCACCCTACAGGCCCGCAGGCCTTGTAGTTGCCCAGCCTTAGGACCAAAGAGCCCAGAGACAGCGACAGACACCCGTGGCTTATCAGACAGGGGATCTTAAGCAAAAAGATCCTGGAGTAACACCCCACCGCCGACAGCAAGCAAGACATGGCAGCAACCTTCGAAACTTGGGGGAGGAGGAAGCTACTATTTATAGGGGGAATTGATGTCAGGTGGGTGGCTCAGTTACCAGGGAAACCAGCAGCTGGGGCAGGGGGCAAGCACTGTAAGTAGTTACTGATTAGGCCCTATAATTAAGAGAATCGGATAGTCCTGTGGGAGAAGCAGGGGCCGGTCAGGCAGGGAATGTACAAAGAGCAAGAGAGCAGCCGTCTTAAATGGCCTAACCATACAGTGCCTAATATACTTGTCCCCAAAAGGGTAAACTGTATTCAATTTACATATCAGTAGGCCAGGAAACTGAGAATGCAAAGTATAATTTTCAAGTGTCATCTTATATGCTGGGCATTATTCATTGTTTCTGATCTACTTCAAGCCTACTAGGAAGTTAAAAACACATAGGTACATGTATTCACAGCTAAGGCGTTACAAGGGATGCAAAATATAGGTGAGCTGGATGAGATATGTATGGTTCCATTACAAGAAACTGAGCATGGTGGTGGAGGGGAGTAGTATGAATAAGACATGTGCTAAAATAACTATAATGCAGGCTGGGTGAAAAGTTCAATAAAATGGTACAAACACATAGCTTCATAAAAAATTATTTCTGATTTTTAATATTTTTAATTAGCCCTGTTTAAAATGAAAGTCCAGGCCAAGGGCGTCACAGGTAGAATGCTGCTTTTGTGATGACCTACTTGTATGATTAAGAGCTGTGTGCCTAGAGCAGTGCTTAAGGCCTTATGCTCATCACCTAAATTAATTCTCTCAACAACCCTAAGAGAGAAGGTTTTCAGGTAAGAAAGTGGCAGAGCAGGGATTCAGTATCGGATCTCTGAGATCTTATAGTCCAAGAACTTAGTGACTATGTAGCAATGTCTTCCTGATTTTAATTTCTATAGAACTGGCTTAAAAATAGAGGATTTGGGTTCCTCTTTCTTACTCCTTGCTGAAAATTAAATAAACTAGGTACACAGTACAGAAAAAACTGGCTAAGACTTTTCTACTTCTCATTATCCACAAAAGGTTGTTAATCATAACATAACTATCCACTCACCAGTTAGGAAAATTTGGGGAGTTAATTTCAAATAGACTGCATTTATGCCAAATTAGGTGCCAGAGGAGACTGAATCAATTAATGAAGCGAAAATTTCAGGCTAACTAGGGAAGTAGATACTGTGTAGATTTGTGGTTCTTAGATTTCGGCTTATGCGTAACTTGAGTGGCAAAGGAGTTCAAGAATCATTTGCCCCATCCATTTATGCCTTCCATTGCATGTATGTGTACACAAATGTATAATCATTACATACATGTTCTTTTTTGAAGTTGACAGAAAAAAATGTCATTAGTTAATGCTAAGAATAAAATTGTGGGCAGTGATTATAGACAAACAGATCATAAACATTGATGGTACAAGAAAAAGCTTCATCTAAAAAGCCTTTTGGACCTCATTTGTAGATAAACAACACTAGATATTTTTCCAAACAGGTGTTTAAGTTTTAGGTACACCATGATTATGGAATAGAACTCTCTTGGTAAGAAACATATAACATGATCTGAGATTTTCATTTTTATAGGATATAACATATAATTGTCACAATTGGGTAATGTATACCTCTTTCAACATTGCCTTTGTAGTGTCATAACATCACGAAAAATTTTATACATGTATTTCTTTAGGAATGTATTTTAGAATTCAAGTTAGTTTTCAAGGGCTCTTCAGTTGAGGTTTGACTGAAGGGTTATTCAATTAACGATACTTGAATCAAGGACTCTATTCCAGCTACATTTTTAATTCAAGGACCATGTTTAAGATTCTAAAAATATTTAGAAAATAATTCCCAAATAAATTGATAGAACTTAGAAAATTGGGAGAACAAGGACTCAGACCATCTACATGGTTAGTGGTTAGAAAGGATGAATTAATAAGGATGTT